GTGCAATCCCCCAAATACTTTCTGGGCTAACTTAGAAACAAAAGAAACTTACTTCTCACAGTTCTGAAGATTGGGGGTCCAAGATCAAAGCACTGGTACTGACCCCAGTTAAGGTGACTTGTTGCCATGTTCTCATATGGCAGAGGGGACCGGCTCAGAAGGGCCAGATGCTCTGTTAAGCCTCTTGTACAAGTCGTTTCCACCCTCAAGACTTAACCTCTGCTCCACATACTTTCAGGTTGGAGATTAACTTCCAGTATGAGCTTTGGAGGGACACATTCAGACCATGGCAAGAGTATCTAAGAAGAAAGTGGCTTCGACTTGAAGGCAGAAAGAGACTAGGAGGAGGCCAGCAGCTGGCCACATCATCCTCAGCCAGGCAGTGAGTTCTCTCTTGAGCAGGGACCACTTATTTCTAAACATACCACAAACACACATGCTTATTAAATTCTAATAAGCATTTAATGGTGTATATCTAAAATAATTTACATTTCTATGTACTTATTAAAACATATCAAAATTAAAATATACAATAAAACAGTTCCAACACCCTAGATACCCCCTTTTATTTTTTCCTAGATAGTATTAACCAGAAATAACCATTATTTCAACTTTCTCACTTAGATCAGCTTTGCCAGATCTAGTTTCATACAACTGAAATCATAGATACATACCCCTTTGGCCTGGATTTTTTAAAAACATAATTCTTTATTGATTCTTTGAAAAATTTCATATCATGCATCCCAATCCCGCTCAACTCCCAATCATCCCATATCTGCCCCCCCCCACGTGCAACATCCTCCCTTAAATTAATTAAAAACAAAACAAACAAGAAAATTCCTCGCTCTTCCATCCTCCCATTGCCTCTCATTCATCCTAGCGGCACTGGGAACTGCAATGTGTCAGGCAGTATAACCTTCTGTTCAATCAGTTCACCCACGAAATGTTCCTTGCAGTGAGTCACTGGTCTGGCTCAAGGGCTCTGGCACACCATCACCACTGGGCCCTCACTGAAACTCCTCTCGGATCCCCTGCTGTTTCCCAGAGTCATGGAGATTGTGCAGTTATTCTTCAGGACCAGTCCCGGTATGCACTCCAGCAGGTCAGAGATGGGGTAGATGTTATGGTGGACCAACCCAAGGTTCAGGATTGTAGGTCTGGCTGGTGAGGGTTGGAGTGAGGGGTAGGGCCATCTCTTCTCATTGAATGGGAGGTGTGTGGGGAGGGTGTTCTCCCATGGGGGTGGACCAGCTCTCCTAGGCCCATGGGGCCATCTCTGTGAGTGTGGGGAAGGTGACAGTTCTCCTGCTGCAATGTCCAGTGAGAGGGAGGACCTGGCTGGCCCAACACAGCCCTTGGATTTCAACATGCATGGTTTCTATTACCTCCGGTGTTTACATGGGCCTTGGACATAATCACAGACCCCAGCTGTAGTAGGAACATGGACCCAGACATGGCCCACAGCAGCAGCTGAGGCCTGAACACAATGGCCCTGTGTGGCAGTGCAGACCAACCAGACTGGCATGGCCCCAGTGGTAGCACAACCATCAGACACTAACACGGCCACAGGCTGTGGCCCAGACCCCAAGCAGTCACGTGGTTTTTGGTGGAACCATGGACAATGGACATCAATGCAGAACTTAGCTGTGGTAGGACCAGAGACCCAGACATGGTCCTTGGTAGCAGCCCAGGCTTGGGTGTCACCATGGCCCCACGCCACTTAGATTGTCATGGCCCCTGTGGTAGCATTTGGCCTGGATTCTTTAATTCCTCATGTCTTTGAGATTCATCCTGTTTTTCTCTTTTTTCATTCTAATGTCCCTTTAAAACTTCTTGTAGCCAGGCAGTGGTGGCTTTAACCCTACACCTTTAATCCCAGCACTTGAGAGGCAGAGACAGGCAGATCTCTGTGAGATCAAGTCCAGCCTGGTCTACAGAGGGATTTCGAGGACAGTCAAGCAACCTTATTCCAAAAAACAAACTAAACCCAAAACCAAAATAAAACAAAAAATCTTGTGTGCTATTCAATTGCATAAATATGACTTTATTCACCTACCCATTCTATTCTTTTAAAACTTTTCTTAGATTTTAATTCAATTTTATGTGTATGGGTGTTTTGCCTGTATGTATGTCTGTGTAGCATATGATACCTGTAGTCAGAGGAAGATGTTGAGTCCCCTGGAACTGGAGTCTGATGAGCCATCTCTCCAGCCCTGACCCCTTCTGATCATTTCTAGTCTCAAGAGTAAAGTTGAGGAAAGCATATTTATGTCTCACGGTGGATATGCACAGTCATTTCTCCTGCATATGGGTCTGGAAATGGAGCTACTGAATCAGAAGCTATGCTTCTTTTAACACAATAAGCAGCTACCAAACCATTTTCCAAGTGCTTGCTCTAGTTTATATACCCACCAGCATGGACTCAGTGCTGATTCAGCTGCTGTTCCTGAGGCCCTCCCAGTCCCGACAGCTTTCTCATTAACCACCCAAAGGTGCTGCCACCTGTTGGCTGGTGCGGGTCAGCAGGCCACCTTGCCTTAACACCCAGCATATTTATTGAATGAAGTAATAAATTACCACTGCCTGGCTAGGAGTAGTAATGAAATAACTGATAAGTCACTTCACATTCACGAAGTCCTTCCTATGATCATTTTTATATTTAAAAACCAATTTTATTAGGGTGAAATTTTTTTATACTCATATAAAACACTAACAAACACTGAGAGCTCAGTGATCCTTCCCCATCAACCACTCTGTCCCACAGTTCTTGGTACACGCTGACATACTTTCTGTCATAATTTAGTTTTATGTTTTCTTGAGTGTTAGCGATATAGGGTCAGAAAGCATACTCCTTTGTCCTTGCTTTCTTTGCTCAGAATAATATTTTTGAGATTCATCCATATTAGATAGGATGTGTCAGTAATGAAGCCGAGCCGAATTTCATTGTGTAAATATATCACGACTTCTTTATCTGTGCTTTGAATTATTTCTAGTTTTTAGCTAGTAAGAATAAAACTACATGAATTTGTTGGCTCAATTTAACCTCAAAAATATTGTTAAGGCAGCATGGATATGTATATTTACTAATTACAAGATAAATTTAAAAATAAAGCCGCTATGAACATTCATGGCTTTTTTGTGAAAAAGTACTTCTTTTAAAAATTATGTTTAGATTTATTTATTTTATGTACATAAATATTTTGCTTGAATGTAGTTTGGTGTGTGGCTGATGTCCTAAGATGTTAGCAGATGACATAGAAACCAGAATAACAGATATTGTGAGCCACTAGGTGGATGCTGGGAATCCCTCGAGTCCTCTGTAGGAACCAAGTGCTCTTAGCCACTGAGCCATCTCTCCGGCCCTGGGAAAAAAAGTATTTACTCTTAAAAGCACTTCTTGCCTTTTAGGTTCATGAACATCCTTTTTGAGCTTCGCGAAACCTGGGAGATTTGACAGGTGAGGAAGGACCTGGCGTGTGTGAGAATAAGTAAATATTTCTCAACTGGTGAACAAGTATACAAATGTGTAATTACCCACCTGAAACATGATTTGCCTGTCTCATCACGGTGCATTTGTGATGGACCATCCAAGACTAAGCCTCAGCCTAGAGCTTCCCTAGGAGATGACATGGAACAAAAGCCCTGGACCCATGCCTCTGAGGGGCTGGTGTGGAGAAAATCCTAACGCTGGGGCTTGAGACAGTAAGAAGGGAAGGAGGAGATGACAGTCGTAGCTGGAACAAGAAAGGTGAAAGGTCCAGGTAGTCAAGATGAACAGGGATGCTAAGCACAGCCTATTTAGCTGGACACTGACTAGTTCTAGTAGCTAGCATCCACATGCTTGTAACCTTGATAATGAACTTCCTGAACCACCAACATTAGTGTTACTAGGGAGTCTTTCTTGAGTTTGCGGACAGCTGACACCACTCTGGACTGGATCACAATCAACTTTTTTTTTTCTTCTCTGTGACAAGGTTTCTCTTTGTATCCCTGACTGTCCTGGGATATGCTCTGAAGATCAAGCTGGCCTCAAATTCAGGGCTCTGCGTGCCTCTGCTTATGTCTCCTGAGTGCTGGGATTAAAGGCATTCATCACCATGCTCAGCTCACAATCAACTCTGAACAAGATATTCAGGTGACGTGTGTTCGTGTTTGATGGAGAAGCATTGCACTATGACAGATATATGCTTCCTGGGGTTGTTCAAGGGTTTTCACTGTGTAAAATGTGCTGGGCTAGTCCCCTTACCTCAACCTCCAGAATGCTGGCTTCCTGGCGTGTGTTACCATTTGCTGTTCTAACGTTTCTTATTAGTAGAATCATACTACAGTATATAATTTTGTCAAGACCTGCTACTTTGACGCAGCATGAATTTTGAATTTCACCCAAGTTCTAGACTCCCCTATTTATTTTTTTATCATCGCTGAATTCAAACTTTTAATAGAACAGAAGAAGGCAATTAAAATATCACATTTAATTACAACGTTAAACCTGTCTAAAGATACAAGTAAAAATACATCATCTGGTTCGTAGACAATTCAAACACTACCACACTTAGGTGTACCTTGGGGCGTCATATAAGGTCATGTTTTAGTTTGTGAAAATGAACACAATCTCAAGATCACGCAACAGACCATCTCAAGAGCACGTCCTAGCCTCACTTCATATCTCTGATTTATCCTAATTAATCCAGTTGGCGACGGGAGGTGCTGATTGTTTCTTTCTGCCTACCAGACACTTAGTGGATGAAAGGCTCTCAAGCGCATGCTCCTTTTAAGCAAAACCGGAACCGTCTGGAACACCCTCACCTGCGTGGCCGCCTCTCCTAGGCGGCCGGCGTAGAGAAGCCCTCGGCGTCGACCTGGCACCTGCTTCTTCTCGCCCAATCCCACGGAACACCGTTTAGGCCCCGCCCACCTGCGGTGCCTTGAGCCCCGCCCTCTCCGGAGGGAGCGCCTTGGGGCCGAGTGCGCCTGCGCAATGCCGCCAGTGGGCGGAGCGAGGAGGGGTAGATGTGAAGAGGGGCGGCCGCGAGGGCTCCGAAGCGAAGCTGTTCAGCGCTAGCAGGCGTCCTGGCCGGTCTGAGGGAATAGAGGCTCCGTCTTCCCTTCCTCCGCCCTCGAAAGTCAACTTCACCGCTCCGCCCGCAACGTCTGCGGGCGGCGGGGGCCGGCGTCAGGGCTTGTCTGCCTCCTCCGGCGTGGGGCCTGGGCGCCATGGACGCGACGGCGCTGGAGCGGGACGCCGTGCAGTTCGCGCGGCTGGCGGTGCAGCGCGACCACGAAGGCCGCTACTCTGAGGCGGTGTTCTACTACAAGGTGAGGCCAGGCGTCGGGAGGGCTCGGGCCGGCTCCCCGGAGCGAGCGCTGGCGGAGCCCGAGGCGGAGGGGCGGGGTCCTGCTACCCAGGCCGCGGTCTAGCTGGCAGATGCCCTCGGCTCGGCAGGCGGCGGGCGGGGAGCGGACGGCCTCTTCGCTGTACCTTGGCCCTGTTGTGTGGCCAGCCGTGGATGATCTGTCATAATATGCCAAGAGGGCATGTTCGATGTAGAAAGGAAAATGTAAATTAGAAAAGAAATTCATCTCTTACCAGCATTTGATGTATATGTTAATGGTTGTTTCCTAAACGTTTGTGTACACAGATTTTTCACTCCGAAACTTGAATCCTATCATTTATACTATTTTGACACCTCACTTCTGCATTGTTCTAGATAACCACACTTGCAGCCTATTCCGTAGTTTGGTTGTGGTCTAGCAATGTAATGATGCGGGTTCCTTAGAGCTAAATTTTTGGGCATTTGTGATATTCTTCTTTTGGATGAATGACTGGGAGTACAATAGCTAAACCAAAGGATCATGCGTTTCCGCAGCTTATCCTGAGGGTTTGCAAACACACCCCTCCAGTTACAGCTTCATGATGTAGGCATTCTTGATTATACAGTGGTAGTAACCCCCCCACCCCCCACCCCCCCCCACTCCCGCCGCCGCATATGTGCTATCAATAAAGCATGGTTTGCTTTCCCTTAATATTTTATTGATTTTATTTTAAGATATACTGTACACTTAGAGACTTTTGGTGTGTTTTAGGATCATTCATTTCAAATTTTCTAGTTTTAGATTTTACAACCCCTGTGTGTGTGTGTGTCTGTGTATCCGTGTATCCGTCCGTCCCCGTCCGTCTGTATGTGTGTCTGTGTGTCAGTGACCCTCTCTCTTTGGGATCTAGCTCTATAGTGGAGGCTGGTCCTCTCCTTGCCGTAGCCTCCCCAGTGCTGAGATTTCAGGAATGTGCCAGCATGCCTGACTACCAGTTGAGAGTTCCTAAAAAGAAAATTCCGTTTTAGTTTTGTGAAACTACTTCCCAACTACTAAACCAGTGAAACACTGCCACATAGCCTAATGGAGTAGCACCTGCTTATTTGCTTGTAATCCCAGCACTCAGGACCAAGAGGTAAGAGGATCACTCTGTTCAGGCCAGCTTGGACTACATTGTAAGACTTTGTCTCAAAAACAAAACCCAATAGTACAATATAAAAATAGCTTTTTTTTAAAACAAAAGAAACTATTGAGCCATTTTCTTTTAGAAGAAGTTGTAATTTAAGAATTAAAATCCTTTGAGGATGGCTGTGGCTCTCCAGTGCTTCATAAAAACTGGAGTCAGGAGGATCAGCTTAGGGCGTATGAGACCCTGTGTGTGTGTGTGTGTGTGTGTGTGTGTGTGTGTGTGTGTGTTGGGGGGACGGCAGGGTTGGTCAGGGGACAGAGGGAGAGAGATCCAGAGTCCTTTTACCCACGCGTAGTCCCCAGCACTTGGGAGGTAGAGACTGGTGGGTCTCTGTAAGTTTAAGGCTAGCCTGGTCTTCATCTCAGTTTCCAGGCTAACCAAAGTTACATAGTGAAACTGTGTCTTTAATTAGGGGGGGGGGGGGGTTTGAACTTTGCCCCTGATTATGTTTTCACTTTTGAATATAAGTGAAATGAGTAAAATAAGATTGATAGTTATTTGACTTTTTAGAAAGCAAGGTGATTATTTGAAAATCACTACTTAATGTGAAGGGTAAACTATTTTCAGGTTACTATTTAATTTATATACAAGGGGTTCAGTTCATTGAAGTTTAATGTATTTTAATAATTATGATAAATATATAAGATTAGATATTTAATGTTTGGATGGAAAATTATTTTTTCTCCCTTGAAATACCTGCTTTATGGACCCTGAAGAAATGTTTTCTACCCCATCTGGCTTTTATGGTTGAATTTCTCATGGGTTGTAAACTTCATTTACTGACTTTGTAGGATTCAGTTAAACAGTTTCTGTTTAAAATCTGGTTTGCAAAGTGAAGCTGATTATAGCACACAGTTTACCTTAGAACAGTGATGGGAAAAGTAGAAGCTCTCTCTCCCTTGCTAGCCATAGTACAACTGACTATGGAAGTTAGGGAAAACTGGAAGGCAAATTAGGCTTTCTTAAGTTTGTTTTATAAAACTGAAATCTACTTTATGTTTATATTCTACTGTGAGACTTTTAACCTTTACAGTTTAAGACTTTTTTAATTGATAATTTGTTTTGGTGATGGTTTTACTTATTTGGTTTTGGTTTTGATGGTTCTGGATATTGAACACAGTGCCTTCCTTCCACATGCCAGGCAACTGCTGTACATAGCTAAGCCCTACATCTGTTTTCATGCTTTTAAGACTCGGTGTGCCTTTCCACAGTTGTACAGATTACACATAAAAAAAACACAGAAAACATGTAAGTCATTCAGTATCTTTTCAGAGTATACAGTTTACACATAAGGAACACAGAAAACATGTAAGTCACTCAGTGTGTCTTTTCAGAGTATACAGTTTACACATAAGGAACACAGAAAACATGTAAGTCACAACTATTCTGAAGAAATGTTTAGTAATTGGGTTCTTCAATTTTAAGCAGAATATAAAAAGGATATTGAAAATGGAAAGAAAGATACTAAACTTTTTAACTTACTTGCTGTATAAAAAGAATTTGTAGATGCTTTTGTTTTGTTATGAAATGACTAGAAAATTAGAAAGTAGTAATTAAAATTTGTATTGTGAAAGTCTTTTGAATTCTTTATATTATTATTATTTTTTAAGGAAGCTGCACAAGCCTTAATTTATGCTGAGATGGCAGGATCCAGCCTAGAACGGATCCAAGAAAAGATCAGTGAATATCTGGAAAGAGTCCAAGCTCTGCACTCTGCAGGTTAGTCAAAAGATGCCACATTACTCCTGTATTTGTCTTTCCTCTTCATCTTGGATCTTTTTCGAGACATGGTTTCTCTGTGTAGCTCCTAGCTGTCCTGAAACTCACTCTGTAGACCAGGATGGCCTGGAAACCACAGAGACCCACCTGTCCTTGTCTCCTGAGTGCTGGGACTAAAGGTGTGTGCCACTGCCTAGTTTCATCTTAGATCTTGACACTCGCTCTTTCTGTTCACTGAGAAGAATCTCCTAAAGAGATTTAAGAAATCATGATAGGGAAGTAAGAAAAATGCTGAGACCTATGTAGAGCACACTTTCCTAATTTTCTCTAGCTGTAGAGATAGTAAATTCTCGATAGTAAATTCTCCACATTGAATTTATCATTGACAGAGTTGCAGTGAATACCATGTCAGAACCTGTTTTAAAGTGTTAGTTCTGGGCTGGAGAGATGGCTCAGAGGTTAAGAGCGTTGCCTGCTCTTCCAAAGGTCCTGAGTTCAATTCCCAGCAACCACATGGTGGCTCACAACCATCTGTAATGGAGTCTTCTGGCTTGCAGGCATACACACAAAGAGAATATTGTATACATAATAAATAATAAAATAATTTGGGAAAAAAAAGTTTTAAAAAAAAATAAAGTGTTAGTTCTGACACTAAAGTTAGGACACAAATTGTTCTTACTGTTTAAAGACTTCAGCAGTAGGCAGTAGATTCTCAGACTTTTCTCTCAGTGTCTTCTACCTTGAGTGAACTGGTTTTTTTTTTTGTTGTTTTGTTTTTTGTTTTTATGCTACACCTTGGAAGGAAAACATGTAAGCAAAGACCTGGAGCAGCTTGTATTTAGCTTTATGAACAGCTTAGCAGGTGCCACAAGAGACGTATTTATTAGCTTAGTGGTCAGTTTTGTTAGTGAAAAAGGGTTTGTGTTCATATGGGTAGAAAAGAAAAAATATTGCTAACCTTTGGCTTAGAAATATATTCATCTCACTGGGTGGTGGTGGTGCACGCATTTAATCCTGGTACTTGGGAGGCAGAAGCAAGTGGATCTCTGTGAGTTCCAGGCTAGCCTGGTCTACAGAGCAAGTTCTAGGACAGCCAAGGCTAACAGAGAAACTATGTCTCAAAAACTGAAAAAAAGAAGAAAATATTTGTCTTCAGGATGATTTTTAAATCTTTTATCTCTTTCGACTACTCAGGATTTCGTTTTAGATGGGTTCTGTTACTGTCCATCCCTCCTCAGTGGAATGAGTGAGCAGTTATAAGCATATAATTAGGATGAAGTCTGTGTGATCTGCTTTTGATTCCCTGTTACGACAGTCTTCTTAAAAGTTGATAGGCTGCTTAACAGTGGTGTCCAGAAGTTGCCTGAATTATAGGAATTGTTTGACAGAACGTTACACTAATCGCTGCATTCAGAATATCTTGTTGGAAGCTCTGGGAGTGGCTCAGCTAGGAGACCTATTTAGCATGCTTTAGGTTCTGGGTTTCCTTCTTAACATGGGGTGAAGGGCCATAGGACCTGCTGCATGATTAAAAAGAATTTCATTTTCCCAGCCAATAAATGATGCTCTTAAATGTAATTGCCTTGTTTAAAAAATGATTCACATTATTTCATATACTGTTTTCCAAGAAAATTATTTTAATAATTATTATTTTAATAACAGTAAATGTTCTTAACTGCTGAGCCATCTTTCCAGCCCCAAGAAAATTATTTTTAAAGTTCATAAAATAATCCTTCAGGATTATTTCCATGATTTCCCTATTCTCTCTATAGATATTTTAGTTTATTTCAACAGTGATGTACTGAATTGATGTTTGAGCTGAATGGTAAATGGGTGGGTGGTACAAGAGCCCCCAGGAAGCCCTAAGCAGCCAGATGTGGAGATCTAAAAATAAGAACATTGCAATGTTTTAGAAACTCTTTCTGAAACATATTAGCCAAATGTGAACATAGACTTATCTAGAAGGAAAAGAAGGTGTGATAATACTAGCTTAGGAGTAGGAACTAGTAACTGAGGGAATTTTCATCTTCTTAGTCCATGGGCTGTTATATTCATTCCAGTCAGTGATCTCTAAATTCTTCAAGTTCTTCCAACAATTGTGAAAAAAATACAATTTTTTTCCCTAGAGAATTAGGAAATATCTCCCTAGTTTGTGTTATATTTTAAAATTTTAAAAATTGCTTTTAAACTGGTGTAGCGGTATGAGCCTGCAGTCCCAGTACTCAGGAGGCTTAAGCAGAAGGATCATTTGAGTCTATGAATGTAAGGCCAGCCTGAGCAATATAGCAACAATGCAGAACAAAAACAAATTGCATTTGATCCTGGAAAGTAAATTCTAAAATTGATACTATGAATGTGATTCTCTCTTACAGAAGAATAACACTAATCTCTTAATTACTCTTTTGTCATTTGGCTTCTTTCACTGAGCTTAATGTTTCTAAGGTTTATTCATGTTATAGGATGTAGCTAGTCATTCTCTGTCCTGCCAGACAGCTCCCAAATCTCAACACGGAGACTTATTATTAATTATGAAACCTCAGCCAATAGCTTGTTTTTGGCTAGCTCTTATAACGTAACCCATTTCTATTAATCTGTGTGCTGTCTTGAGGCTTATTTACATCATTTACGTATTGCCCATACTGCTTTCCTGCTACTTCTGTGTCTCCTTGCATTTCTACCCTTCTTCCCAGCATCCTCTGTGCCAGGAAATCCTGCCTAGTTATTGGTTGTTCAGCTTTTTATTAATCGACCAGAGTGACACTTCTTCACAGTGTACAAAAAGATTATTCCACAGCAATAGGATATATCAGTACTTTATTCCTTTTCATGGCTAGATAGTAGTCCATTGTATTAACATACTACAATTTGTATGCCCATTTATCAAGTGGTAAATATTTGGGTTTTCTTCCTTTTGTCTATTGTGAGTAATGCTGTGCACGTTCAGGTACTATGTAATTCTGTGCATAGTGGACTGTGTACACTCAGGTATAAAATGGCTGCATATTTTATGCTTACTGTTCCACCAGCAGCATAGCTGGTTTCAGTTTCTTAGTTCCCTTATGTTCTTACTCTTATATACAAGCTCTCTCTCCCTCTCCTCTTTTCTGTGTATGTGGAGAGTGCTGGGAATTGCCTGATATATGCTAAACAAGTGCCTTGCCACTGAGCAATATCCATAGCTCTGCAACGCCTTTTTTTTTTTTTTTAAAGACTAGACCTTGCTGCCCAGCTTCAAACTCTGATACCCCTGTCTCCACCTTCCAAGTGCTGGGATTACAGAGCTCTGCCTCCAGTATTGCCTTGTTAATGACTTTTATATTTAGCCATACTGATGGATTATATCTCATTGAGTTTTGATGTGCATTGCTTTGAGGAGTAATGATGTTGAGCATCTACACATGTGCTGTAGACTGGAGAGATGGCTGAGGAGTTAAGAGTACTTGTTCTTGCAGAGGACCCACATGGTGATTCACAACTGTCTGTAACTCCACTTTCTAGGAATCTTATACCCTCTTCTGACCTCAAGGGCACCAGGCATGATCGAGTGTACAGATGTACATGCAGGAAAAACACCCGTGGACATAAGCACATCTTTCAAACAAAACACAAACACACACAAAAACCAATTCCCGTAAAAGCACGATGGCTTCTTCTGGACTCAGATGGATAAGAAAAGCAGAGCAGGAACTTATCGTCATGGTCTAGTATTATCTGTACTATGTACTAAAAAATTACCTTAAAATATGATGATTACTACTTCTCCCCCATCTCATCCCTTCTTCCTCTTCCTTTTCCTTCTCCTCTTTTCGTTTCTCCTCCTCTTTTCCTTTCTTTTCCTTTTCACCTCTTCTTCCGCTTTTCCTTTTCTGGTAGTAGCCATAGAGCCCAGGGCATACTGTGAAGCAAGTTTGTTCTGCCCCTGAGCTATGCCCCCAGCCCTATATGTTTCTTAATAGTTAGCATTTTCTAAGTTTTTACTTTGTTCATGTGGAGGGAGAAGGATATGAGGAAGACTCTCCTTTGTTTTGCTTTTTATTTTAATGAAGGGAGTGCTAGTAGAAAAAAATTCAGGGAAATTTTCAATAAAGCATTTCTAATACCCTGTCTCTGATGTCTGAACAATTGGGCTTGGCCAGGGGACTTAAGATTAGAGAGAGAAAGGAGAAATTATTCCTCTTTTAAAAGATTTTTGTTGTATAGCTTGCTAAATCTTTTAAATGAGGGATGTAAAATTTAGTAAGGAATGTCTTAAATATATTAAAATATTGGTATTCCCTGGCTACATTTAAATAATCTTTCTACATGTTTTTTTATTCTGTACTAGTTCAGTCAAAGAGTGCTGATCCTTTGAAATCAAAACATCAGTTGGATCTGGAGCGTGCCCATTTTCTTGTTACGCAAGCCTTTGATGAGGATGAAAAGGGAAATGTGGAAGATGCCATAGAATTGTATACAGAAGCTGTGGATCTCTGTCTAAAAACCGTAGGTATAGCTATGAGTTAAACTTGATGGAATTATGTTAGGAAATTGCTTCTCTTACTTACGAATTTAATTTGAAGGAACCCCTACATTCTATTGTTATGAATAAAGCTAATTTAATCTTCATTGAAAATGTTGAGTAGATCACTAATAATAGAGTTTTATACCTTATGAAAGTTTTGCTGCTACTGAATCACTAAGCAATTGCTTTTAAAACATTATATTTGCTTATTATTATATTTAAACTGTTTAAGGTTATCATGTAACTAAGACTACTATAAGAAGGATTCACTATCATGAATCTGTAAATTTAGCATAAACTTTTTTCAATTTCATACAGTAAAAAATAAAGTAGTAGTTTGGGAGAGCTTCATTAACTTGCGATATAAAATCTATGTGCTAGCCGGGCGATGGTGGCGCACGCCTTTAATCCCAGCACTCAGGAGGCAGAGGCAGGTGGATCTCTGTGAGTTCGAGACCAGCCTGGTCTACAGAGCTAGTTCCAGGACAGGCTCCAAAGCCACAGAGAAACCCTGTCTCGAAAAACCAAAAAAAAACCAAACCAAAACAAAAAAATCTATGTGCTGAGTGGCTCTTAGTACTCCCTAATGGACCTTGATTGAGATGCTCAGCTTCAAGGGGCATCTAGTACTTAAGAGTACCATGCATTTAGGAGGAGGATGAGGTAATGTAGTAGAGGATGTTCCCATTGTCTTCCACATGGAAGCTTTTTGGCAGGCTATTGTGGTCAGAAAAACCACCCACCTTGATTTCTACAACCCTGGAGAACATAGATAAGTGCTGGTCTCCCTGGTTCCTCCTGCGCAGCCTTCCCATGGTCCATGTTTACACATTTATGGTCTAGTTCACATGGTCTACAGAAATGTGACAAAATGCTCAATATGGTTTTAAGTGATAACCTTTAAAGACAGAAATAAAATGTTGTTATTATTTACTCATAATTTCAAGAAATATATTTAATTTTGCATAGAAATATGGATTAAGCAAATTAAAGAACTATGCTTTAGAATGTCTCTCTTTCTCTTAAGTCTTATGAAACTGCTGATAAGACTCTGCAAAATAAATTGAAACAGTTGGCTCGACAGGCACTAGATAGGTGAGTTTTGTCACTTAAGTTCTTATCAATGGACAGCATGAATTGTGCTCTTTTTTTTTTTAATCATAACATCTTAAATGTGTGGTAGAGGTCTAAATGTTCGTCCATAAGCTGAGACTTAGTGCTTCAGACCAAATAAGTAGCCTATTCATTAGTCAAGAAGTCTTTTAGTTTTTGCTTATTTAGAGAATTAACTGTGATAATTGGTTTGTTTTATTGCCCTGTTTCTGAGTGTCTATGGTAGTCTTGTGGCCTGAATCCAGGATCTCGTGCATGGTATTCATTCTACCACTGAACCATATTCCCAGCTCCCCGCAGTCATATTTCAGATGGAATCCTTTCTCTGTGTTGTATAATATCAGACTTCCAAAACAGCCTTTTCAGAAAGTCATCCAGAGTTGCTATTAAAAGATAGACATTGAGAATGGCCTTACATTCATCCCAACATCAAACTGTATGTGTTGCCTTCATCTTAAGCTTGTGTCCTGAGGCTTGCTAGAAACATTTTATTTAAAGTTGAATTTAAATTTCTTCCAACACTTTCATTCTGATTGCTCTGCTTGTTTCAATATTCTTTTCCATTGTTATTACCGCATTGTGGAATATACAAAAAGACCAGTTTGTTGTATTTTTTGTTGATGTCTGTGTTACATTCAACCTTTATTCCCTAAGTGGAAACTTGTGAAGACAGAGTTGCCTATTTTGTTCACTGCTTAAGTGAGCACCCTGCAGAATGCCTAATGTAGATGTGTTCAGCATGTATTTGGTGAATGAATGGATCTGTGTAAGTGAATAATGCTGCCTCTTTCAATAGCTGAGGTAGAAAACTTTCTTGTAAAGGAAAGGAGTAGAAATTTCATCTATTTCTAGAATGTGAATTTTCGAAATTCTTAGTTTGAAGCTTTACCTGTAGCTATGTTCTAGTCCTTTCATTGCAGAATAGCTTATCCCTTCTCTGCTTCATCAGTGAAGCTTTAGTTTGTTTACCCAAACTCATGAAGTAGGAGCACTTGACACAGTTGCCTTCTCCAGTTTTCATGACATGGGAATCACCGTGTTCACCAGGCATGGTAGCCTTCTCCATCATGATTTCTTTTATCAGCTCTAATCATAGTTGGTTTTTATTCTTGTGTAGATAAGCCATCCAGTATTTCTGAGTCCATCCTAGGTGAAGGTAGGTAGGGCGAGGTATCATTTAGAGGGTCCTTTGAGGATCTGCTGAAGGAAGATTAAGGACCTTCTTCTAGGAAAATGTATGTCTAGTGTTCTTGGCATATAATTTTGGAGTGTTATAAGATTCATGAAGCTCATATGTGGATCTTAGGTGAAAAACGTTTTTAGCTTGTTAGTTCTTTGACAGAACAGTCAATAGCCCCTTGCATGTCATGTGATGCCCCCTGTCAATCAGTTTTTATTTTCCTCTCACCTCGTCTCCTGCTGTCTCTCACTTGTAGTTTTGACGGGGTCTGTATCCATCCTTTGATATTACCATCGCTTGCTCTGCTGTTTGGTACTACTGCGTGTTCTTAACTGCAGAGGAAGTTCTCTAAGACTCAAGCATTAAGTCTCAGTGCCCTTCCCTCCATTCACCCTCTTTTCTTGGTGACTAGGGCTATTATTTCTTTTGTGTATTCATTTGCATGAAACTCTTCTGTCCTGGCATCTGTCGTTTTGACAGTTATCTTTTTTATCCACAAAATCTTTTAAGGATATGATTTATACATTATTATACACCCTTTACCTTGCATATAATAAATAAAATGTTCATTTAAGTATTGCTTACAAAATATGTGCAGTAGCTTACATGGAGATATTTTGGTTAGTATGTAAGGATTTTATGAACTGATTTTACATTAGGATGCTTTACTAACTTAAAATAAGTTTTGTGTCCTGTAAGTTTAAATGAAATACCCAAGAGGTAGAGGCAGGAGGATCAGGGCTTCAAGGCCAGATTGCTACATGGCAAGTTTGAGGCCAGTCTCTTTATTGAAACCCTGTCTCATAAAAGGCAAAAGCATAAATGTAAGAAAAAAACTAGAACAATTCTTCTGTGCTTCTGTTTTAGAGCAGAAGCATTGAGTGAACCTTTGACAAAGCCATTTTGCAAACTCAAATCAACAAATATGAAAGTGAAGACTGCCCCAGTAAGAACACATTTTCCTCTGGGACCTAATCCTTTCCTTGAAAAGCCTCAGCCATTTATAAGTCCACAGTCATGTGACGCCCAAGGACAGAGATACACAGCAGAAGAAATAGAAGTACTCAGGTAAATCCACTCATGACTCAGGGTAATGAAAACTTTAAAATAACCAGTGCAGACCATTTTATTCGGAATTACATGAATAATTACATAGCAGTTATGGCAGGCTGCTCATTTTCTGTGTATCTTTGTAACCACAAGTCTCACGGGGATGGAGGGTTACTTTGAAATAGCCAGCAAACAAAAGTCTGGAGTTATGAATCCTTTAATTTGTTTGGTTTTTTTCAAGACAGGGTTTCTCTGTATAGCTCTGGCTGTCCTGGAGCTCTCTCTATAGACCAGGCTGGCTTAGAACTCACATAGATCTGCCTGCCTCTGCCCTCTGAGTGCTGAGATTAAAGATGTGCACCACCGCCTGGCTACTTTTCACTTTTTAAGAGTTTAAAAAAAACTCTTAAATTCTGAAAACAGAATTATGACAGAGACCACTTCATAAAACCTAAACTGAGTATAATGTCAATCTTTACAGAAAATGTTCATAGACTTCTGATCTAGACAGACAGCTCTGTGTATTTGAAAGCAGTCTTGGGGGCTATTAAAAATTCAAAGCCTGAGCTTGACATAGAACTTGCCTGTAATCCCAGCACTCTGGAGAAGGGATACTTATAAATTCAGGTTCAAGGCCAGCCTGGACTGCAAAGGAAACCCTGCCTGAAACAAAACAAACAAACAACAACAACAACAAAAAACAGTAACAGCAAGACCCTCGATAATGTAGAGATCCTTTACTGTCTTCTGAACCAGTTGATCAGGTGAAAGAGGATAAATCTCTGAGCCAGCTGATGGTTCTTGAGTTGGGCAGGTCATTTAGATGTTAATTTTAAGTTTTCAGAGATTGAGCTGAAAGGAACAGTGTTCCCTCCTTGGTCACAGCCTTCCAGAGCATCTTCCTTTCTTCCTGAAGATTTCCATTACACATCTCTTAGTTTGCTTCCTTTGCCTAATAAAAATAGTATGTAAACAAAACAACAACAAAAGGGTCCTTTTAAAGATGAGGCTTTAAGTTACTGAGTGTCTTAATTAGGGTTGTTATTGCTATGATAAAACACCATGACCTAAGCATTTTAGGGACGGAAGGGTTTACTATGCTTCCACATCACTGTCCATCATCAAAGGAAGTCAGGAACTCAAGCGAGGCAGGAGCTGATATAGATGCCATGGAGGGGTGCAGCTTACTGGGTTGCTCCTCATGGCTTGCTCAGCCTGTTTTTTATAGAATGCAGGGCCACCAGCCCAGGGATGGCACTCAGAATGAACTGGTGTTCCCCAGTCAATCACTAAGAAAATGCCCTATAGGCTTGCCTACAGCCTGATCCTATGGAGGCATTTTCTCAGTGGAGGTTAGCCAGTACAGTGAGAATTCATCATTTTGGCTACTCAGAATCTATATACTACTTTTATATATACTACACATTTGAAGTTCCACACTTTAACAAAACAACTCATTTAAAACACAACTGTCCTTCATACAAGTGAAAATGAGTGCTGGGCGATGGTGGCGCACGCCTTTAATCCCAGCACTCAGAAGGCAGAGGCAGGTGTATCTCTGTGAATTCGAGGCCAGCCTGGTCTACAAGACCTAGTTCCAGGACAGGCTCCAAAGCTACAGAGAAACTTGTCTCGAAAAAAACAAACAAACAAAAAAAGAAATGAGTATACACTGTCCCAACAGTTATTGTATCCATTCCTGACTACATTAATCTTCAGGTTCACTGAGTATATTACCCAAAGACTACAACTACTCTTAAAAAAAAAAAAAAAAGGAAAGAAAAAAACAGCAGATGCATAAGAAAGAAGTAGCTACTAAACCTGGTGGCACGTGCTGCAATTCCAGCCCTTGAGATTCCAGTGCAAGAATTTTTGAGTTCGAGGCCAGCCTGATAGCCTGGGTTATATAGCAAAGCCCTATCTTAGTTCAACAACAACAGACAACCCCACCCCCCCAACATAAAACATGCAGAACTTCTACAAATCTCACCGAATTTGTTGACAGATCATAGCTCTTTCTATGCCACTTTCTTCTTTCAGGACCCATCCATGTTCTGATAGCCAGAAGATAGAAAGATCACATTTTTAAGAGTTTATTGTGTCTTTTAGTTAGTTGGTTAGTTTGGTTGCCTTTTAGTTTTTCTAGACAGGGTTTCTCTTTGTAGCCCTGGCTGCCCTGGAATTTACTCTGTAGACCAGGTTGGGCCTGAACTCATAGATTTGTCTGGGATTAAAGCCTGTACCACCATTGCCCAGCTTGTTTTTTAAATCCCCAAATAACTAAGTTATTGCTTTTTTTCTTTGGCCTTAGGTTAGACTTGTCTTTGTCCCAAGTCTAGGAAGTTAATTTTAAAAGAACGTTCTTATTAAAATGAATTGAATTATAACAGTTATACTCTGGTCTCTCTCTCTCTCTCTCTCTCTCTCTCTCTCTCTCTCTCTCTCTCTCTCTTGGTTTTTCGAAACAGGATTTCTCTGTGTTAACATCCCTAGCTGTCCTGGAGCTAGCTCTTGTAGATGAGGCTGGCCTCGAACTTATAGAGATCTGCCTGCCTCTGCCTCCTGAGTGCTGGTATTAAAGGCATATGCCGCCATGCTGTGCAATGAAGGAAAAATTTCAATGACAAAGTATGGTACTATATTAAATTGACAACTTCATAGTTTTCAGATCTTTATTAGGATGGTTTTGATAAGAGAAATACCAGAGACGGGCGGTGTTAGTGCACACCTTTAATCCCAGCACTTAGGAGGTAGAGGCAGGGGATCTCTGTGAGTTCGATGCCAGCCTGGTCTACAAGAGCTCGTTCCAGAACAGTCTCCAAAGCAACACAGAGAAACCCTGTCTTGAAAAAACCAAAATAAAAAGGAAAAGAAACTTTTCCTTCGGTACTAGCTAAAAGACTGAGATGCTATTGTATTTTAAACTTAGAGTTTAACTAAAATTGGTGATTTATAAGATAGATTTGAAAACTTAGATCTTTTTCTTGTGCCTTATAGGACAACATCAAAAATAAATGGTATAGAATATGTTCCTTTCATGAGTGTTGATCTGAGGGAACGTTTTGCTTATCCAATGCCTTTTTGGTAAGTAAGCACATTTAACTTTTATTTCCAATACTCTGAAGTTCAATTTAATTCATAGCCTTGAAGTTAAATTTTATATACAAAGTTGGTTGGAAAAGAGGAGTACTTTTGGGAAAGAGGTGGGAAGATAAAGAGGTTGAAATAAAGATCTGAGCAACATGAAGTTGTCAGTTTAATAGAGTACGATGATAGAGAACCATTATATCACATTGATCTTAATTGGCTTGGTTGTGGGCTCAAGGGGATTTTTTTTAACCTAACATTATAAACATAGTGCTTAATATAATAAATATAATACTTGGTACAGTGTAAATACTGAGCAACCATTTGTCTAGTTAATGATTGGATCACTGTAGAAAAAACCCCAGAAAGTAATCTAAGTGTTTAGAGATACACTCAAATACCTACACAAAAGATACTATAATTGTGAATTATTAGAGTAAATCACTCTAGTATGTGCTATATATATATATGTATTTACACTAGAGTATGATTATATTTAAGGAGATATAAATTTGTGTTTTCAGTTTAAATGTAGCAAATTAAATCACATCTCTCATGCGAGAATGTCCAAAAGAAAAATATAGAAAAGTTGAGACAATTTAGTAATATGATTGAAAAAGTAAAACATGAAATACAAAATCTCTTTTAATTTGCAGGAGATCAATGTGTTCAGGGTGGTATGGCCATCGACAAAGCTCCCTCAGTTTAGGAATTAGTATTCCTAAATTGGGATTTCTAAATTCCATAGTTAGAAGTTCCCCCTCCACTTTTTCTTTTTTTGATAATTACTTGCTTAATACATGTCCCCATCTGGAAACTATAAGCTTTGTAAGGACAGAGATCTTGTCTATTTAACTAAATTCTATCCTGTATCTAGCACAATATCTGTTTTTTCTTTTTTTTTTAATTTCTATAATATCTCTTTATAGTAAATACTCAAGATTTACTTACTGAGTGAATTATATTTAAGATTATAATATATTGAATTATATTATCTATTTGAAGAATAGATAAATACTAAAATTGACTAAGTGGCAGTATTTTCCCACTTTTGTCATCTAAATTATTTTACATAGAGAATAATTATAAGAAAAAATGTAAAAATTTAAATTTATTTAACAGATTGACAGGAAAAAGGCTTCATAATTTAACATAATTTAGAGCAGTGGTTCTCAACCTTTCTAATGCTGTGGCCCTTTCTCATGTTGTGGTGACCTCCCAACCATAAAATTATTTCGTTGTTACTTTATAAATGTAATATTGCTACTTTTATGAAATGTAATGTAAATAACTGATATGCAGTATGTCTTATATGGGACTCCCCCAAATTGGTTATGACCTGCAGATTGAGAACCAATGATTTAGAGACTGATTTAAATTTTTTTTATTCTGGTGATATGTTAACCTTTAAATCATAAGCATTGTAGTTTATAAAATACTTTTAGTACCCTTATGAGTCTAAGAAAAGAAATGTGTTTAACACTGACTTTAATCACTAACAGTGATTTGAGAGAACAAATACCGTGGAACCTTTCTTCAGTTTATTCTCTAGTATCTGTTATATGGAAGACTAATAATGGATGAACAATAAATAAAATTATAGGCTTGAATTAGTTTTGATTTTCTTCCTTACGAGTTTGTGATTGCTGTCCTTTAAACTCCTAAGTTTACTGAGCCCTGTCTCTATTTATACTCGGCTCCTGACATTACACAGGTTCTAGCTAAAGTGTTACCTGAACAGCAGAGGTTCTGTGAGGTGATGATCAGAATGTTTGAGAGTCCAGGTGTGACGGCACACCTGCAGTCACAGCGCCCTGAGGGCAGAGGTAGGGTGGTCATAAGTTCAAGACCACTTCTCAAAATGTAAAAACAACAAAACGTTTTTAAGCAGTGTTGTAGGCAGTTGTTTCTATCTAAGAGATTTGCAACAACATGGGCTCATAAAAGTCTAGAGGTGTTCTACCTACAGTGAAGAAACTAGTACTTTAAGTTTTCAGGTCATACTTGAGCACAAAATCTTCTAATCTAATACTCATCAACATTCTTGGATAAAAGAACTACACAAATTTGTTTTAGTTTGCATATTACACATTACCGCAAAATCTTTTGAAATCCAAAGAGACCCATGTTGCCATTGGTGTAGGAAGGTGAAGACTTGGGGTTTGGGGAGGTAGGTGGTTTTTATTCAGGTTTTATGTCAGCTTTAAAGAGATCCTACAGCACAGAGTGAGTACAGTGTAGTGGGTGACACGGTGGATGTGGTACCACATGCTTGGATTCGGTTGTCACTTCTTAGCTTCATGACCTTGGTAACCAACCAGTTTGTGCTTTTCTAAAAAGTTCTTAACTGAATAGTTATTTTGAGCATTTAAGTGGAGAATAATATATAAAGCATATTGGCGTTATGCTTGGCACAAAGTCACTGTTTAGTAAACTTGCTGGTCTCTCTGCCCTTTCAAGAGCAAGGGAAGGAGCTGGTAGCTTCCTAGGTCCTCAGTGGGTCAGTGTGTATTGTTAATGACTTCATTTTATTGCTGAGTTTCCTGACCATCATAACTATGGTAAGTGTCTATACCATATTTCTAAGTAAATATAAGCTTCTGTCTTCACTTTTATTTTTTTAAACTGGAGAAGGTGTTCAGTTTGACTGATTTCTTTTTTTTTTTAATATTTATTTATTTAGTATACAATGTTCTGTCTGTGTGTATGACTGTAGGCCAGAAGAGGGCACCAGACCTCATTACAGATGGTTGTGAGCCACCATGTGGTTGCTGGGAATTGAACTCAGGACCTTTGGAAGAGCAGGCACTGCTCTTAACCTCTGAGCCATCTCTCCAGCCCCAGGTTGACTGATTTCAAGGTTAAGTGTAAAGAGCCAGATCTGACTGATTATTTTAGGAAGGCAGAAGTGTAGCTGTATGATATCTATGTCAAAAAGGAGGTCTCATTCCCACTCAAGTCATCTTTAAAAATTAATATATTCTTTTAACTTTTATTGTTTCCTCAGTGATAGATGGGGCAAGCTTCCATTATCACCTAAACAAAAAACAACATTTTCTAAGTGGGTACGACCAGAAGATCTCACCAACAACCCTACAATGATATACACTGTATCCAGTTTTAGTATAAAGCAGGTAAACATTTATTTTGTATAATGTTTAAGAAAATTGGTACTCTAAGGAAATTTGAATTTAGATTTGATTTTTATTAGATTGTATATATTTAGATGCATGAGTATAATTGCAAAATTTTCTCATCCTTCACATTATTATTTCCAGCTTGATTTGGTAGCACATACCTATAATCTCAGCTCTCATGGTTTAATGCTGTCGTGGGCTACATAGTAAGTTTGAGACCAGTCTGGGCTACATGACAAGATAAATCTCAAAATGAGACCGAAAATTTGTTATTTTTTTTCTTCTGAGATAGCATCTTGCTCTGTTGCCTGAGCTGGCCTTAAATTCAGTGATCTCCAACATCAGCCTCCCAAGTAGCTGAGATCACGGTGTGTGCCACCATGCCTAGTGCAATCTGTGCATTCTGTCTTTAACATTGAGAAAATAATACGAGAAACTGTTCTGAGCAATTACAGATTTTTTTCCAATAATGGGAATTGAATTTGGGATCTAGTGCGTGCTAGGCAATCACTGTATAACTAAGCTACAACCCAAGCCCCAAGTATAGATTTTTGCATTTGTAGGTGTGAAACTTGAGAATTGAATTTTATACTTGCCAAGGAAATTTTATACTTAATTATTTAAGTATTTAACTCTTGGAGGCTAGGGAAGTCCCTGCTGCATAAGCATAAAGACTTGAATTTGCATCCTCAGAAACACATAAGAATTCAGGAGGGGATGGAGATGGCTTAGTGGGTAAGAACACTGGCTGCTCCTCCAGAGGACCAAGGTTCAATTTCCAGCACCTACATGGAAGCTCATACCTGTTTGTAACTCTAGTCCCAGGGGATTGAATGCCTTCTAATTTTTTTGGTCAGTGGGCAAACATGTGGTTCACAGAATTATATGCAGACTGAACACCCATACACATAAAATTTTTTATTATTTATTATTATTATTATCTTTTTTTTTTTTTGGTGTTTTGAGACAGGGTTTCTCTGTAGCTTTGGTGCCTGTCCTGGAACTAGCTCTTGTAGACCAGGCTGGCCTCGAACTCACAGAGATCTGCCTTCCTCTGCCTCCCGAGTGCTGGGATTAAAGGCGTGCGCCACCACTGCCCGGCCTTTTTAAAGATTTTTATGTAAACTGGGCGGTGGTGGCGCACGCCTTTAATCCCAGCACTCTGGAGGCAGAGGCAGGCGGATCTCTGTGAGTTCGAGGCCAGCCTGGTCTAGAAGAGCTAGTTCTAGGACAGGAACCAAAAGCTACAGAGAAACCCTGTCTCGAAAATCAAAAAAAAAAATTTTTTTTAAAAAGGAAAAGGATGACTGTGTGCTACTGTAACACCCCGCCTTGGTGATGCAGATAAGTGATCTCTGATGTTATCTGGCCAGCCAGCCTACTTGAATTGGGAAGCTTCAAGTTCAGTGAAAGACCCTCTCAAAAAGTAAAGGGTGGATAAGTTTGGTTCCCACTGCATGATATTGGAGCTCATAAGCCTGCAATGTTCTCTTTTGTTTTCCTTGAGTTTCCACACTCCATGTGCACATATAGCCCCAAATAGACACATACAGAGATACATAATTGAAAATAAACACAGACACACATACACGTATATTTTAAAAGTAAAAGGTAGAAAGTGATTGAATGGAACAATCCTTATCATTGACCTTGGGCCTGCATATATACCTACGTGTACATGCTTACACTAATACACCACCCCATAAAAGTATATAATACACCACAAACCTAAAAGTATTCATTGCGATACTTTTTCTAGGATTTGTTTGAATAAAATATATGAGTTAGTAACATGACAGTTCTATTTTTCTATTTGAATATTAATCAAGATATTTAATATAAAAGCTAAAGTGGTAGATGTAATGTATAAATATTGTACAAATGCTGGTTACATGAATGAAAGAATATGCTCTTATTAACAGACAATAGTATCAGATTGTTCCTTTGTGGCATCATTGGCCATCAGTGCAGCTTATGAGAGACGATTCAATAAGAAGTTGATTACCAGGTAAATTTTTGTGTTTGTCCTTCATATAATTGTTACTTAACTGAAAATTTAAGGCTTAGACCATATGCATGTAGTAGTGGAGAGGGTATATCACTAGATTATTATGACCCTTCTGTGGGTTAAATAGATGATTCCTGAATGTTAGAAGTTCATCTAAAGAACATGTACATACGTTGCAAAATAATGTATGTGGAATTTGTTTAGAAATTGATGTAATCAAGGTAGAAACCATGTCCTATTTATACTTGGTAATTTTAACTGTACAGAAAGTTAGCCACTGGTTATTGAACACTTGGAATAGGTTAAGATGGGTGGCAAGTGCAAGAGGTCCATGAGATTTTGAAAACTTAACATACAAATTGTAGAATTGGAAAATATTTCTTTAAGTGTTGAGTATTTGTTGGAATCATAATTGGATTAAGCAAAAAATATTACAGAATTAATCTGATTTTTAACTTTTTTGTTTGTTTTTGGAGACATGGTCTTTATGTCGCCTGACTGGCCTCAAACTTAACAAAGATTTACCTGCTTCTGCCTCCCTAGTGTTGAAATTAAATGATTTTCATCTTTAACTTTTAATATGGCTACAGGAAAATATAAAATGGCATGCATTTCTGTTGACTATAACAGCTTTAAATTGTATTGAAATGTTTGAGTTTTGTTCAGTTTTTGAAAATTATATTAAGCTTAAAAGCACTCAGTATAATTATAACCATGCTCTCATTTAGCTTGTCCTAAGAATAAACGATAAATCAGGCAGTGCTTAGTTTCATTTATTTGCCATATAAATAAACAATTTGGAATGTGCTTGATTTGGTGCACACTTTTAAAAGAAAATTGGTAATGAAAATTCTTAAAATATCTCATTGTATAATTTAAAAAAAATTTAAAATGTGTATGGATAGATGTTTTGCTTGCATGTATATCTGTGCACCACATGCCTTTTGTGCAACTTTGTAATTTATTAATTGTATGATCATATGTGTTGTGTCTTTACTCTCTACACAAAAATTGTCTGGTGCCCTTTGAAATTAGATGGTTTTGGATCACCTGGATCTGGAGTTAAAATGGGTATTAGCCACCGTGTGGATGCTAGCAACAGATCCCAGGTCCTTTGCAAAGACGAGAAGTACTTTTTAAGTGCTGAGTCATCTCTCTAGAATTCATTATATACTTTTAATTTTGTGTAGCCTTATTAGAATGGTGCTACGTGCTTTAATTATATTTATTGAAATGATCTTTTTAAAACCAATGATAAAAGATAATTTTAACTGGCTTAAAATATATTTATTCAATATGTGATTTGTTAAAACTTGTAGTTAAAAATTGAGTACTATAGACTGTAGCTCAGTTAATAAAGTGCTTGCCTAGTACACGGGGCCCTGGGTTCAATCCTCAATACTGTTTAAACTTATCATAATGGAGTACACCTATCATCCCGCCATTCTGGAGGTGGAAGCTGGAAGATCAGAAGTTCAAAACCCTCCTCTGCTATATAGTTAGAAGCCAGCCTGAAGTATGTAAGACCCTAACGCAGAATATTGTGAAGATTTATGCTCTAGTTTATGATTTTAGAAGATATTTCCTTAAGTTGGGAATGGTGGTACATTTGGTAGGTTGAAGCAGGAAGCTTATGAGTTCAAGATCAGCTTGGCTACATAATGAGACCCTATCTCAAAAGGAAAACCAAAACCAAGCAATGTTTAAAATATTAAAATAAAATAGTCTGTTTATTTTTTATAAAGTTTGGAAGAAAATATCAGTGAATGGCTTATGTTTAAATGTAATATAAAATTTTATATATTAGTTGATGCTGAATATTAACATTGGTATTTTAATACTTATTTTTTTCTTTCCAAAGCATAATTTATCCACAGAATAAGGATGGAGAACCAGAGTACAATCCCTGTGGAAAGTATATGGTAAAACTTCACCTCAATGGTGTCCCAAGAAAGGTGAATATCTTTTTCCTTCCCATTCCCTACTTCCATCTCTTCTTTGTTTATCTCTTCACCCTTGAATCTTGAGGGAAACAAGCTAAGAAAAGTTGACTGTGTAAAGATTTTAAAAGTCAATTGGTTTGATTTGAATATGTGATATATTGTATATACTACTACTAATAGAATCATTTGTTAGTAATTAAAAATAAAACAAGTATAAAATTTTTCAAGACTTTTTAAATTTGTGTATATTTGTGTGCATGCATTACATGTGTGCAGGTGCCTGGGACTAGAAATTATAGGTCCTTGTAAGATATGGGTACTAGGAGCTGAACTCTGGCCTCTTGAGGAGCAGCAAGTGTTCTTAACCACTGAGCTGTCTTTATAGCCCCATAAAAATATTTTCTTATAGATTTAATTGTTTTGCTCAAATTGTCTTCAGTTGGTCTCAAGTGATCCTCATGAATAGCTGGAGCTACAGGTATGAGTCACTGCACTAAAGTCTTTTTTAAAAATTGGTTTTCAAATACCTTATGCAGAGTTCTAAAAGAATTGTTAATGATTAATAATTTTTAATCTGATCTAAATTTTTGTTTTGCTTCCTTTTTCTGACAGGGTGTGGTTAATGTATCCCATTCTTGCCTCAAACCTGTAATGCTTTTGCCTCACCTTGAGAACAATGGAAAGTCTCTTTAATTCTTTTAATTAAAAGGAAATGGGGATCAGCCAAATTGTTTCATGGGTAAAGGCACTTCCCTTGCAAACCTAATGGATGAGTTCAATTCTTGGAATGTAAATGTGGAAGGGGACTTGAGTGCCTTCACTCCTGCTGTGACATATCCTTCCACACATGTCCATGCATCATGCACATTCACAGATAATAATAATGTTTTTTTAAAAATTATAAATTAATAAGAGGTTGGTGGTACATAACTTTACTCCCAGCATTCAGGAGACAAAGGCAGGCAGATAGATCTCTTGAGTCCATCCTGGTCTACATAGTGAGTTCATGCCATCCAAGACTACATAGTGATACCCTGATGCCTGCCTCAGCCTTTGGAGTAGCTTAGACTATAGGTCTGTATCTCCAGCCCTGGTTTACTTTCTCATTTAGCAGATCTGGGATGAGGCCAGAACTTGCCTTTTTAACAGTCTCAGTGCTAATCCTAATGCTGATGCTATTGTTTGGGAACACTTTAGAATTACTTTGATTACTTAAAAACTAAATAAACAATTTTGAGAAAGATAGTAACCTCTTGTTTAAAAGACCCTTTCAGTGTTGAGCATGGTGGCACATAGGCACATACCTATACCTAGGACTCAGGAGGCTGAGACTGGAGGATAGCTAGTTAGAGGCCAGCCTGGGCTACATAGCTTGTTTCAAAAAGTTTTGAAGTAATAATCTTTGTACTATTTTCAGATTAGAACTCTTATTTTAGCCCCATGTCTTCCAAATCATTTTCTTCTTTTTTTTTCCCAAGTCATTTTTGGTATTAATTAGATACCAAATCTTTGTGGTATTGCTTGCTCAGTTATTTAAATGTATTTTTTAGTTAGAATATTCTACTGGTACAATCATATATAGTATAAATCTTTTTATAAAGATATACCAAAAATAGGAAGGCTCTTTTGTAATTTTAAATATAGTATACATTCTAGAATCCCTAATAATCTTGATATATATGTATATATAATATATATGTATATATAATATATATGTATATATAATATATATGTATATATATATAATATATATATACACACACATACACATCTCTTGTGTGTAATTATTGGCTTTCTTGTCAGTGAGATTAGCTTGTAAGACTGAATAAAGACATTGTATTAAAATGGTAAGCATTTTATAAAGCTGTCATTATCTTAATAATAGGTACATTGTGGCTGTTGTTGATATAAAGTTGGTTTTTTTTTAAATTGAGATTTAAAGATTGTTTCACCTAATGAAGTTAATGTTCTCTTTCTGCAGGTGATAATTGATGATCAGTTACCTGTTGATCATAAAGGAGAATTGTTGTGTTCTTATTCCAACAATAAAAGTGAATTATGGGTATCACTTATAGAGAAAGCATACATGAAAGTTATGGGAGGATATGATTTCCCAGGATCCAACTCAGTAAGTCATGGATATGTGTTACAGACACACACTTATGCTACCTAATATATTTTAAAGTTTAAAAGTCATTCTTCAGGATCTTACAATGCAAGGCAGTGAATGGAAAGGTCATATTTATATTGATATTAACAGTTTTACTTCCCAACCCGCACATTCAGTTATGTTTTTTCAGATGCTTTTAGTTTAGTTTTGTAATTAATTGCCCCTTTTTTTGTTTGTTTGTTTGAGATGCTGTTTCTTTATGTAGCCCTGGCTGTCCTGAAACTGGCTATATAGAGCAGGCTGGCCTTGAACTCACAGAGATTTATTTGCCTCTGCCTCCATCATGCTTACCTAGGTGATTGCCTTTTTATTCAACTTAGAGAAAGAAAGAGTAGGAGTGTATGTAACATGCTAGAACTGACTGATTGTAAAAACTTACTGTGTGATAAATAACTTGTCATCATAGCAATCTCTTATATTGCATTTTGAGTCTTCTTATATCTACCAATAAAAAAAAAGTCTTTTTATGAGGCTGGATAGATGGCTTAGCACTTAAGAACTCCTGTTGCTTTTGTAGAAGACCTGAGTTCTGTTCCCAGCTTCCAACATGCCAGCTCCCAACTGTCTGTAATTCCTGTTCAAGAGGATCTGATGCCTGTTCTGGTCTCCATGGGCACCAGGCACACAAGTGGTGCACAGACACACATGGCGGGCAAAACACCCATACACATAGATCTTTCTTAAAGAATTCTCAAGTTCAGAAAGCAGAAAAGCCACTTTATCTTCAAGATCATTATGCCAAATCAGTAGCTCTCCTGGGAATTTATTAGCAGCCTAAAAACACTGACAGTTCTGAATTGTGTTTATATTTCAGAATATTGATTTGCATGCACTGACTGGGTGGATACCAGAGAGGATTGCGATGCATTCAGATAGCCAGACCTTCAGTAAGGATAATTCATTCAGAATGCTTTATCAAAGGTAAGTGTGTTTCCTCACTCTCTCCCTTCCTGTTTAAAGGCATCACACTTTATTTAGGGTAGGTGATGGCAGAAACTGTTTGTTTTTTGAGAAGTATGGGTGGACCTCCAACTTGTGATCCTCCTGCCTCAGCTTTCTGGAATCACCTCTGCACACACTACCTCCAGTAAAAGCAGTCATTTTACATGTGTGCTAACTGACAGCCTTAGTTGTCCTTAATTGTGGACACAGTTAATCCAAATTTGAGATGTCCCATAGTTGTTGAATATGGAATGTGGAATGTAGAAAAACCATATGCTCCTGCCAAAGTACTTATAAAGTCTGAGGGAAGGTGGGAAAAGAAGTCTCGAGAGTTTAAACTGCAAATGGGAAATTTATATGAAGGTTCTGGGAAACTCTCCAAACCATAACAAACATAGAGTATCAGAAGTAGGAAACTTGTGATTTGGTAAACAAAGCCAAATCCATTTTGGAGAAGTAAATTTAATCTTTCACATCTGTATCCTTGTTCGTCAGGTAAAAATTTAGCACTTGTTTTTCTTCACTGATAGGTTGTGCCTGAGAATTAAGTTGTCCTGGTGGGGTGGTGGGTAATAAAAATGATAATTCATCTGTTAAAATAGCCAGTTTTAAAAACAGTTTTCAAATGTGAAGTTTTTGTATAAGCCAGCAGACAGTAAGAAAGATGGTGTGATCTGAGATTTAAAGTGTGTCGTGCTCTAACTGCCTGTCTCTGGTGCCCGTGCAGATTTCACAAAGGGGATGTCCTCATCACTGCGTCAACTGGAATGATGACCGAAGCGGAAGGGGAGAAGTGGGGCCTGGTTCCCACACATGCATATGCTGTTTTGGATATTAGAGAGTTCAAGGTTAAGCCTTATAATTTTATCTTTCTTGATTGATAACATCTTACAGTAGCACAGTGATCAGACTTTAGAGCCATTCTACTAGTGTAAGCAACTTGGTTTCTGCCATTGGAAATTAGGAGACCAAAGGTGCAGATGAAATGCAGTGACAGTGCAGTGACAATGGAACAGAGATGCCAGCACACCTTTTCTTCTCCAGGACAGTCACCACAGTTGAGACTAGTACATAGCTCTGACGGGCCCAGGTAGCATGTTGGTGCTCTGGGTTAGTCATGGTAGAAAGCTCAAGGGCATAGAAGATATATATCTGTGAAAGGAAATATAGGAAAATGGCTAGGAATAAGAGATGATTGGGCCTGTGTGCACGTGCACTTCTCTTCCTTGAAGTTTTTACAGCCTTTCTCAGTATGTCCTTGGGCATCCTGAGGTCTTCAAATGTGACCTTATTACTCTGCAGGTTATTGTTATTTTTAAATGAAAAGTTGATGAGTTCTCTGCAGTAGAAGATACAAGTGGCCTTCCTTAACTGGATAGAGGTGTGATCATTCAGAAAAATAGTACCCATTATTTGTTAATTAAACTGTCAAGTTGGCACACAGAAATAGGTTATTTAGCCCAAGATATAATCCAAGAAATCTGTCCGTGATTTTGTTATGCAGACACAAGAGTTCCTTACAGAGCCTAGATGGTATGGTCTTGTGTCTGTCTGTCTGTCTGTCTTGCTCCTAGGGCCTTCAAGAAGAAATACCAGATTAAATCAAACAAGAGAAAATGGTGCAGCAGGAGACACAAGATGTGTGAAGCTCTTGTTAGCTTAAGGTAGCTGCATACAGTTTGACAGTTAAGGCTTTTTTTAAGACAGGGTTTTGCCAGGTATCCCAGGCTGGCCTTGAACTCCTAACCCTTCTGCCCTGGGATTACAGGTACATGCCATCATGTCTGGCTCCTTTTTTTTTCTTTTCAGTAGGAGTATATTCTAAAATGATGATAAAAAAATATAGGGAGTATATAAACTAGTGCCAGAAGTATTTGTCATTATTAGATATTGTGTACTTTGCATAATTATATGTGCTATACTCTTTACAGTTGACTGTACAAATACAATAGGTTTATTTTTACAAGCCTCACAATAAAAGAAAAGCAAATTTTAAAAAAGGTTAAAAAACAATTCCAGAATTCCAGATACAGGGTAAGAAACAAACTCTAAAGGCCAACCTGGGCTACATAGTCACCCTGGGATATGTAATGAGACCTTTCAAACAACAAATGCATAGTATTTAACAGTAATAAATGTTATTCATGATATTTTGGCCAGTGATTGTCGTGTGTTCAGTTCTAAACAAACAAGCCTCCGAGCTTACTTAGTTAAAATGTGTATATATAATGCATTGCACTCTGACCTTAGGATGGCTGTGATGTCACTAAGCATCAGGAATTTTCAGATCCATTATAATTTTTTTTTTTTTTTTTTTTGGTTTTTCGAGACAGGGTTTCTCTGTGACTTTGGAGCCTGTCCTGGAACTAGGTCTTGTAGACCAGGCTGTTCTCAAACTCACAGAGATCCGCCTGCCTCTGCCTCCCAAGTGCTGGGATTAAAGGCGTGCGCCACTACTGTATGTGATCACTGTCATATATAAGGTCCACTACTGGCCAAATGCTGTTGTGACACATAATTGTATAGGAATGAAAGGCAGTATGAGCCTGCCACAACAGTTAAACTTTAAATCCTCCACTGGATGATGTTGCTGAGTGGCAGAGCACTTCAGCAGTCATGAGGGCATAGATTCAATCCTCAATCCTTGGTATAACTTATAGATTCAATCCTCAATCCTTGGTAAAACTTTATGATCTTAAGGCTTTATGAATTAGGCAGGATTCCAACCCCAACCATGTTGTATAAAATTGTTTATTTCCTTAAACATGTCAGTAAAATTGAATCTTTTTTTTTTTTTTTTTGGTTTTCGAGACAGGGTTTCTCCGTAGCTTTTTGGTTCCTGTCCTGGAACTAGCTCTTGTAGACCAGGCTGGACTCGAACTCACAGAGATCCGCCTGCCTCTGCCTCCCGAGTGCTGGGATTAAAGGTGTGCACCACCACTGCTCGGCTAAATTGAATCCTTAAAGCAAAAAGTAAAAAGGTAATGCAAAGTTCAGGAAAGCTAAAAGGTGTGCTTGTTTTAGAATCGTAGTTTTCTCCACACATGAAGTACTACAGTTAACAGTTACTATCCAGGCCTGAGCTCCTTTTTTGTTTGTTTGCTTGTTTGTTTGAGACAGGGTTTCTCTGTAGCTTTGGAGCCTGTTCTGGAACTAGCTCTTGTAGACCAAGCTGGCCTCGAATTCACAGAGATCTGCTTACCTCTGCCTCCCAAGTGCTGGGATTAAAGGCCTGCGCCACTACCACCGGAGCTCCTTTGTTAGAGGTTGGTGTCAGTGCAGTAGATAGTATATAGTAATATATATATATATAAGTAATATAATAAGATATATAATATAATAACTACTTATAAGTAATATAATAAGATAGAATAGTAAGATAGTGGCCTGTGATTAAGTTTGGATAGTGAAACAGCAGCCTTTCTAGTTAGATTAGTGCCTTTACACTAATCTGTACAGTCATTCTGTACACACTGAGGCATTTTATTAGAGTATGTGTAACCAAAATACGTTGTGGCCCAGTAATAGTTTTTTCACTAATAATGTTCCCTTTCAGACTGCAATCATGTGCATTGTTGCCCAGCTTGAGCAGGTTTTATAACCTGTAGAGTGCCCACTTTAAACTTGCTTGTGAATTTCATGCTGTCAGAGTTGATCTTTGCTCAAATTCTTGATGTGTGTTGAAATTGAAAGCATTAACTAGTGTTCTTTAATGGTGTATAAATTTGAACCTTTCCTGGGCTTGTCCTTTATTGGGTGTGTAGTTTTATTTCTGCTGTCTTTAGTCTTTGAAACATTTATTCAAATTTTAAGACAGGGTTTTACTATGTTGCCCTAGCTGGCCTGGAACTCAGAGATCTGCCTTTCAAGTGCTGTAATTAAAGGCATATTGCCACCATGCCCTACCAATTTTGACTTCCTTCTAAAATGTTATTATGCCTATAAGACTTTTTTTCACAGTCTTAAAGCTACTTAAAATCTCATTTGTGACTTTTATTAATATATTCCTAAAAGTATTTTGTGTGTGTGTGTGTGTATCTGTATCTAACACGTTTGCATGCTCTGCGATCTTTATTTCCATTTCCCATCCTCCTTCAATTCTGTGTCTCCTGGAGGAACTGTCCCATAGTTTACTCTAAGGCCCATCCATGGTTCAAGGCCCTTGCTTTTCTGTCCACTCACCTTACAGCATTTCTTAACCTATATTAAGGCTTTCTCCTTTGCTGGAAATAACTAGAATTTGTATGTTGCTGCATATACTAATTTTTTTTTCTGAACTTTTCTTGTATTTCTTCTTCTGTTCTGGGCCCTTTCTGCTTATCAGTAAAATCTCCAGTCATATGCCTTTGAATGCCTCTGGATATTTAGCAGAAATTTCTACTCCTTTATGCTCCCCTTTTAGAAAATATTGCTGTGAATTAGGAATTGATATTTGAGGGGCTGGAGAGATGGCTCAGGGGTTAAGAGCATTGCCTGCTCATCCAAAGGTCCTGAGTTCAAGTCCCAGCAACCACATGGTGGCTCACAACCATCTGTAGTGAGGTCTGGTGCCCTCGTCTGGCCTGCAGGCATACACACAGAACATTATATACATAATAAATAAATAAATATGAAAAAAAAAGAATTGATATTTGATAAGTAATGAAGTTTATTCTAAGAAGATTATAACATGGTAAATCTCTTTCAATTTAATGTTATCTTTTGTTGTTAATCTTTTTGTTTTGTTTTGTCTTTTAATATAGGGCCTGCGGTTTATCCAGTTGAAAAACCCTTGGAGCCATTTACGCTGGAAAGGAAGGTACAGTGAAAATGATGTGAAAAACTGGACCCCAGAATTGCAAAAGTATTTAAACTTTGATCCCCGAACAGCTCAGAAAATAGATAATGGTAAATATCTCTTTGTAACTTTAATACCATTTTGGGATTGGGAGGTGTGTATGAGTGCCTGTGTGTGCATGCATATGGAGGTCACAACTCAATATCAAATATCTTTCTCTGTTGCTCTCCACCTTACTTTTTGAGAACAAGGTGTCTTGCTGAACAAGGAGCTTATTGATTGACTAGCCTAGCTAGTCATCAAGACCCCAGGATCCTCCAGTCTTTGCCTCCCCAATACTGGGAATATACACATACACTGGCATGCCCAGCTTCTGTATGGGTGCTGGAGATGGGCGCAGGTCCTCATGCTTGTGCAGTAAGCACTTTGCTGACTAAGCCATCTCCCTAGCCTTTACTTGCTTTTATGTGTGTGTTTTGTCTGCATGTATGTATGTATGTGCACCAAATGTGTGCAGTCTCTACAGAAATCATAAGAGGACTCCCTGGAAACTAGGGTTACACATGGGTATGAGCCATTGTGTGGGTGCTGGGAACCAAATCCAGGTCTTAGAGCAGCAAGTACTAACATTTGCTATCTCGAGCTCTCCAGCCCTTTAATATCATTTCAAGATGAGATAGACCACTGGGAGGTGGTGGCGCGTTGCCTTTAATTCCAGCACTTGGGGGCAGAGGCAGGTGGATCTCAGTGAGTTCAAGGCTAGCTTAGTCTACAAGAGCTAGTTCCAGGACAGGCTCCAAAGCTACAGAGAAACCCTGTCTCGAAAAACCAAACAACAACAAAACAAACAAATAAATAAATATGAGATAGACCTGTCTCAAGAGTTTCTAATTTTTAATTGTTATTTTTTTACATATGTAGGCGTTTTGCCTGAATGTATATCTGTACAGTATGTGTGTGCTTGGTGACCTTGGAAACGGATCACTGAAACTGGAGTTAAAAAGAGTTGTGGGCCATTGTGTGGGTGCTGGGATTGAATCCGGGTTCTCTGCAGAGCAGCCAGGTGCTCTTAACCACTGAGTCTTCTTATTTATTGCTAAGATATGTTTTAGATTAACAAAGACATTTAATTTTTAGGAATATTTTGGATTTCCTGGGATGATCTTTGCCAGTATTATGATGTAGTGTATTTGAGTTGGAATCCAGCTCTTTTTAAAGAATCAACTTGCATTCACAGGTAAGTTTTTATACATTTTATAGTATGCGTCATAATAGTCTCTACATTTGAAAGATTTAAAAATTTTTAAATTTATGTGGCAAATGAGAATGGGGTTTGCACATGAGTGCATGCGTCTGGGAAGCCAGAAGAGGATGGATGTTGGGTTCTCAGGAGCTGGAGTTACAGGCCGCTCTGAGTCACCCAAAATGGGTTCTGGGAATTGAACTCAGGTCATCTACAGGAGCAGTACATGCTCTTAACCACAAACTGTCTCTCCAGTGCCTATACTCCACATTAAAATTTTTAAATACAGTGATCAATTCAGAAGGACCATCAGGCCCTCTTTTTGGTATTTGTAGTAGACATTTTTTCTATATTACTTTATTACACCAAAAACTTTTTAAAGGATGAAACAAAAAAAAAATCTGATAGTTAATGCGTAGCAATGGTAGTGCACACCTTTAAGGCCTGCCTGTCTACGTAGTGAGTTCCAGTACAGCCAGGGCTACACAGAGAAACCCTGTTTTGAAAAATAATAATTGATTAGGGCTGGAGAGATAGCTCAGTGGTTAAGAGCACTGGCTGTTCTTCCAGAGGACAGAGTTCAATTCTTAGCTCAAAACTGTCTGTAACTCCATTCTAGGGGGGAATCTGACACCTTCACACCAATGTATATAAAATAAAGTTGAAATAAGTAAAAAAAAATAATAAAAATCTTTGAAAGCTTATTTGCATTTGAAGCACATCACTTTTTTCTTTTTTTTTTTTGATATTTATTGAGCTCTACATTTTTCTCTGATTCCCTCCCTGCCTCTCCCCTCCCCCCTTCAACCTTGCCTAAGTCCCCATGCTCCCAATTTACTCAGGAGATCTTGTCTTTTTCTGCTTTACACTTCCCATATAGATTAGATCTGTGTTAGTCTCTCTTAGTGTCCTCGTTGTTGTCTAAGTTCTCTGGGATTGTGGTTTGTAGGCTGGCTTTCTTTAATTTATGTTTAAAAACCACCTCTGAGTGATAATTGTCTTTCTGTGTCTGGGTTACCTCACTCAAAATAATGTTTTCTAGCTCCATCCATTTTCCTGCAAAATTCAAGCTTATCGTTATTTTTTTCTGCTATGTAGTACTCCACTGTGTAAATGTACCACATTTTCCTTATCCGTTCTTTGGTCGAGGGGCATTTAGGTTGTGTCCGGGTTCTGGCTATGACAAACAAAGCTGCTATGAACATAGTTGAGCACATGTCCTTGTGGCACGATTTGAGCGTCCTTTGGATATATACCCAAAAGTGGTTATTATTGGGTCTTGAGGAAGGTTTTTCATAATTTTCTGAGAAATTGCCACAATGACATCCAAAGGGGTTGTAACAGTTTGCATTGTACCAGCAATGCAGAAGGAAACACATCATTTTTATGTTTTATTTTTTCAAGACAGGGTTTTCTCTGTGGCTTTAGAGCCTGTGTGGAACTAGCTCTTGTAGACCAGGCTGGCCTCGAACTCACAGAGATCCTCCTGCCTCTGCCTCCCAAATGCTGGGATTAAAGGCCTGTGTCACTGCCGCCCAGTGAAACATTTTAAAGTAGTGTTTAAAAGTTTAGTTGTGGACTAGAGAGGTGACTCAGCAGTTAAGAGTTCTTGTTGGTCTTGTAGAGAACCCAGGTTAAATTTCCAGCACCCACATAGTTGCTTACAATCATGTTAACTACAGTTCCAGAGGATCTGATGCCCTCTTCTGATCTCCACAGGCACCAAACACACATGCACAAAGATACGTGCAGACCAAACATTCTTTTTTTTTTTGGTTTTTCGAGACAGGGTTTCTCTGTGGCTTTGGAGCCTGGCCTGGAACTAGCTCTGTAGACCAGGCTGGTCTCGAACTCACAGAGATCCACCTGCCTCTGCCTCCCGAGTGCTGGGATTAAAGGCGTGCGCCACCATCGCCCGGCCAGACCAAACATTCTTATACATAAAATAATGAAGTAAGTATCCAAAAAGATAATTTTTTTTAAAAAAAAGTTTAAAAATATCTTTACTGGAAATTTAATCATTGCTGTCTTTTTGTTAATTTTTCTTTTAGTTCTTGGGATGCTAAACAAGGACCTGTGAAAGATGCTTATAGCCTGGCCAACAATCCCCAGTACAAACTGGAGGTGCAGTGTCCACAAGGGGGTGCTGCAGTTTGGGTTTTGCTTAGTAGACACATAACAGACAAGGTATGGATACCTTCTAATGCCACCACATTCACCACATAGAAATTCTTTCAAATACAATTGTTAGAGCCATAGCTTTATGACTAGCCAGTTCCATGTATATAGGTGGTCAGAAAATGTTTTCTCAAGTATATAATTATTATCATCAGGTCAGTTTCCTAATAATTATGCACTAAAGTCTTAATCAGATTTCTCTGAAGGAGAAGCTTGCTTTTCAGTGAGAACATAAGGGTTGATACATACTTTGGAATTTATGAATGGTAAGCTTAGACTATTCTGGAAGGGATTTGGAAATGTTGGATCATTAGTTTTGATTGTAGAAAGGTTTACTGTAATCTTAATCATTCACATAGTCATTTATTCAGAAAAGCATGGCTCCTATAGAACTAAGTAGCTGAGTGTTCTTGAAAATGAGTTCAGCCGGGCGGTGGTGGTGCACGCCTTTAATCCCAGCACTTGGGAGGCAGAGGCAGGCAGATCTCTGTGAGTTTGAGACCAGCCTGGTCTACAAGAGCTAGTTCCAGGCCAGGCTCCAAAGCCACAGAGAAACCCTGTCTTGAAAAAAAACAAAAAACAAAAAAAAAAAAAGAAAAAGAAAATGAATTCAGTAGGCATTTAGAATAAAGAACATCCTGAGTCCATTTTCCTAACCACCTTGCGTTCTCTGTGATTTTAGGATGACTTTGCAAATAACCGTGAGTTTATCACAATGGTTGTGTACAAGACTGATGGCAAGAAAGTTTATTACCCAGGTAAGTTCTGCTGAGCAGACATTGAACGTTCTTATTTATATAATTGAGTTGGAAAAGAAAGACTTGTATATAGGTGGCATGTAGAAATCAATAATGATTATGCTGTTAGGCTAATAAAATAGCAAAACAGATTGGGTATTTAGGTCTTGTTTTTAATTTTGAGATTCTTGGAATTTGGGTTTATATGTTCTTGTACATACCACCAGAACTTGATTTCTAAGAGGTGCAAAAGTCTACAAACTGCCCAAAAGAGAACAGAGGGAAGATGACATAGCTTGGGTTTAAAAAGCATTGAGTTTCTTCTCAACATTTATTAGTTACAGCCCAAAATGAAGCAATTTTACTTGAGAAATGATGGTTTGAACTTGGGTTGTTGTAGTGTAAGGTAAGGAGGACAGATAATGCGTTTCAGTAAGGACCCTGGAATCAGATGTTACTAAGACGGATAAGAATTGGTCAGATGCAAGGAGGGAGCAGATTTATGTTATAGAGTAAAATCAGATGTTAATTTTTGGCTTGTTAAATTTGAGGTAATATGACTTCTAGGTTAGGATGCCAAGTGGGCACTTGATTTCTGAGCAGGGATATAAGGCAGGTTAATGACTTGAGGTGCAAACTGATGATGCAGAGGCATATAGGTAGCATTTGAAGCCTGTACTGTACAGATCATTTTTGGAGAGGGCTGTAGATAGAGCTGAATACCCAGGACTGACCCTTAGGTTCTCATACGTCTTGAGGCTGGGCAAAGGAGTTGGCACTATTACTGGAAAACTTGATCAGGATGCTTGATGAAACAATGGATGATACAGTGAGGTTTGATAGAACCTAAGCAGAGGAGGTATTCCAAGAGAAAAATGAGGACACCTGTTTCCTGCTGTCTGAGAGGTCAGAGAAGATACAGTTGGACTTAACATCTGGTAGTCATTGTTGACCTTGACAAGAACAGCCCAGTCCGAAAGGTAGCTCTAGAGAGGATCAGAATGAGTTCATGTTTTTCTTTGTTCAGTCATAAAGGAAAATATGAATTCTTCACCATTACACTGGTTATGGAAGGCACTAAACCTTAGTAGTCAGTATCTCAGTTTTGAAATTGGCATGACACATAAGATCCAGTGGTCATCAAGTCAAACTAGCTGTTTTCAAATGTTGATCATCATATAACTAAAAAAAAATAATTTCCATGCATGAAAATTTTATATGGCTTTATAATATCAAATGCATTTTATTACTCCCTTTACTTTTAAAACTAAAGGGTTTTTTTTTTTTTTTGGTTGTTTTTTAGTTAAACAGTGTTCCCTCTTTTATGTGTAGTGATTTTTCAGGATACTTCTAGGGTTACAGTTTTATTTTCATCACACTAGATCAGGTATTTTTGCTCTCCATTAACAAAATAAACAGACACAGATTAAAAACTTAGTCCATGGGCTGTTGAGATAGCTCAGTGGATAAAGGTGTTGGCTGCCAAGTTTGACAACCTGAATTCAATCCCTGTAATCCATATGGTGGAAGGGGAGACTGACTCCCTCAAGTTACCCCTGACCTCCACATGTGCACACACACAAATCACTGTTAACAAAACCCCCTTTGTAAAAAGCCCCACTAAATCATTAGTGAAAGGAAGATAAGATTAGTAGTTAAGAGGGATTTTAAGAAACTAATTTAACATCCTCCAAGGTTTATTTAGTTCTGGGGTGGGGCTAAATAGATGTCTTTATATAACTTTTTATGTCTTTAAAAAAATGTTAACTTCCAAGAAAGCTAATCCTGGCTCTGAAAATCTTTTCTATAAACTCGATATGTGTGCAGCTGACCCACCTCCATACATTGATGGGATTCGGATCAACAGTCCTCATTACCTGACTAAGATAAAGCTGACCACGCCCGGGACTCACACCTTTACCTTAGTGGTTTCTCAGTATGAGAAACAGAACACAATTCATTACACAGTCCGGGTAAGAAATTCACCAACCATGAACCAGCCATGCAGTGACAAAATACAGTAATGAGGGTCTATGCCATGTTCTGCTTTATAAGTGGGGCCATTTGAGATAGTCTTGCTGTATGGCTTCAAGGTCACTATGTAGCGCAGGCTGGTGTTGAATTCATATACTCTGATCTCAGCTTCTAAAGTGCTAGAGAAAAGAATTATTTCTGAAAATCATTTTGTTTTGTATGTTTATTAAATAATTATACTTCCTGTAAAAATGTAAGTTGTACTTTACTTTGAATAACATTTTAAGTAAACACATTTTCATAGTGATGGTTTATTCCTGAGATAATGTGGTATATTGAATTAATAAGTGCAATTAAATGGCAGCTTTCAGTAGGGTACAATGATGGCAGCACACACCTGTAAAACTTGAGAATTTCAAGTTCAAAGAAAACAGTTTTCAACTGTTTACTTATATTGCTTCAAAGGTAACTGTCCTTCTGTTGTACATAGATTTGTTTGTCAGATATAAGAAGTTCAATTTGAATGGAATGTCTTTTTTTTTTTTCTTGAGACAGGGTTTGTCTGTAGCTTTGGGGCCTATCCTGGAACTAGCTCTTGTAGACCAGGCTGGCCTTGAACTCACAGAAACCCGCCTGCCTCTTCTTCCCCAGTTGCAGAAGCTAAGGCTGGTAAAATTGTCCTGAGTCATACACAGTAACAGACTAAGCCAGAATCCTCTAGTTCCTGGTTACTTAAGTCTGACTTGATCCCAACTAGTATTTTAGCCGTAGAATAGATCCAGTGTATTCCCTTAATCATTGTGATTCATTCCTGTGACGTTTCTCAGAATAATTTTTGGTGGGCCTTACCATGTTTTTAAATCTAGGTATATTCAGCGTGCAGCTTTACTTTTTCGAAGATCCCTTCACCATATACCTTATCAAAACGGGTAAGAAAGTCTGTGGGTTGTAATCTCATTTTTTTTTTTTTTAGCTTTTTAGAAATTCATTTCGGCCGGGCGATGGTGGCACATGCCTTTAATCCCAGCACTCGGGAGGCAGAGGCAGGTGGATCTCTGTGAGTTCGAGACCAGCCTGGTCTACAGAGCTAGTTCCAGGACAGGCTCCAAAGCCACAGAGAAACCCTGTCTCGAAAAAAAACCAAAAAAAAAGAAAAGAAATCCATTTCACTGCCATTAAAACACTTCCTGGGATTTTACAGAAATAAAGGGAAAAAGTGTTTGCTTATTTTGGTTAGAATAAAAGATCAGTGAGCAACATTGTTTCTATGGAAATAGAATAAAAGTAATTCTAGAGACAGGATTAGGATAGCCTTGCTTATCAGAAGTCCACTTAGATGAACTGAAAAAGAATTTGAAAATAGTTTGCAGTGTGGGTAAAATAAATATGCAGAAGAGTCTAAGGAGAATTCCTGGTAGTGAGAACAATTTAACTGAGTGAGAGGCGGAGTATAGTAAAGCAACGGCTGAAGGAGGACAGGCTGTCAGTGACAAAGATTGGAGAAACATACTAGAACTATGGTGGAATCAGAATGTGAAATTTTGTTATGACAAACTTTATTTTATAGATTAATGGAAAGTGGAGTGGTCAGAGTGCTGGAGGATGTGGAAATTTTCAGGAGACTCACAAAAATAACCCCATCTACCAGTTCCATATAGATAAAACTGGACCGTTACTGATTGAACTGAGAGGACCAAGGTTTGTGATTCGTAGCTGCCTTTTTTTTCCTTTTCGTGCTGCAGATGACCCTAGGGCTTTGTGTTTGTCAGCAACCACTCTAGCACTGAGCTATGTTTTTACTTAGAATCCTTAGTTTTAAATTAATGAGGATATATTAAAACTGATCTTAAGGGAACAACGTTTGGAAACAAATCCATGTAAACATAGGCAAAGTATTTTTGATAATTACAGCATTATAAAGGGGAGGTCAGCCCTGAGTAAGTGTCCATGTATGACAGTAACTTCACCTAGCTCACACCAGGCCTAAAAGTCAGTTCTAGATTACAGACTAGTTGTTAAAAGTAAACAGTAACTTCTAGAATATAATACAGATGATATCTGGTATGAAATGCAGTTCAGCATTTTTTTCTCTGTGAATGAGTGTGTCTTGGAATGCCATATGAGTCACATACTAACTATTCTGTGAATTTGGATTTTGAGGGCTTTCTTCTGTTCTGTAGGGTTTTCTGTCAGTTACACCGACAGTCTTTCATCTAGAAATTTATGTTAAATGATGTTTTATCTTTTATATTATTCCCTGGGCAGCCTGTAGTTTAAAAAAAAAAATCTAGCTGGGAGTGATGGCACAATGCCTTTAATTCAGCACTCAGGTGGCAGAGGCAGAGAGATCTGAGTTCGAGGCCAGCTTGGCCTACATAGTGAATTCTGGGACAGTCAGGGTTACTTTCTGAGACCTTGTCACAAAAAGCAAAAGTCTGTGTTAAGGTAAGCTTGATGCGTTATTAGTCTTTATGGATTCCATTTTAAAACTAGATAGAAATTGTGAGTAAAAACAGTATGCAGAGTTTTGGGGTGCTTTCTTGTTGGTAAAGAGTGGAGCACACACACATACATACTTCAATAGCTCACCTGCACCTTGCAGTGTCTTTTAAACTGTTTACTAACATAGCAATGCTGTTTTGATTTCTAATACCAGGCAATACAGTGTTGGATTTGAGGTGGTAGCAGTTTCCATAACGGGAGATCCTGGTCCTCATGGCTTTCAGAGGAAATCTAGTGGTGACTATAGGTAACAGTGGCATTTTGTGTTCAGTGTACACTTTATATGACATTATGGTCACATAATAACCTTATTCTCATTTTCCTTCAATATAGGTGTGGATTTTGCTACTTAGAATTGGAAAATATACCTGCTGGAATCTTTAATATCATCCCAAGTACTTTTTTGCCTAAACAAGAAGGACCGTTTTTCTTGGACTTTAATAGTACTGTCCCCATCAAGACAACACAACTCCAGTGATAGAGAAGTCTCAGCTATTACTGGATTCTATATTTTGCAGTCATCGGCTCTTCAGACAGAGACAAATTATGATGGTAAACCATCAGAATGGAATTCAAAGACATGCTACAGTGAAATCTGGTACTTGTCATGCTGTTTGCTAGGAACTGTACATAGAAGTACCTTAATCTTACAGGTACTGTTTACATGGTTTTGTGCATACAGAGTTGGCATGTATTTAGGGGCTAACTTTGTATAAAAATTATATATGATTACAGATTAGATTCAGCTATCACTGTGAGATGCTTTTGCTAACAGGACAAAGGAACTGAAACAAGATGAGGACAACAAGGGCCACAGATCCACTGAATGCAAGAGCAGGCTATTTTAGTATTTTGAAATCCTTACATTACGTTTCCCGTTTTTACAGAGCACGTAAGTTTAACCTGTTCATGTTGAATCCCACCATACATCTGAGGCAACTAATTACCAAATGAATCATGCCATTATAACTAATTTGAATTTTCCATTGTGTGTTTAAATGTTTGTTGCCTAGATGTCATGAAAGAATAAAGCTTTAAAAAGTACCATTTAGCTTAGCATGAAGATGCTCAGGCTTAAGAATGAAGGTTCTCAGTGTTAGATACATCATTCATTGTAGAGAGAGAACTGAGGTATATTTATTGTTGCCATTTTTTAATTCTTAGGTTGGTGAAATGTAATAATCTGAGACTGGAAATGTTAAAGTTTAGTGTATAGAGTTTTAAACTGCTCCGTAGTTTGTGCTTTCATAACAGGAATTTGGAGAGTCCTTGAGACTTTATAGTATGTGGTGATCGAGTTATACAACATTCATAAAAAGTGAGTTACCAGGAATTAGAGGTGTTGTGTAAATTCCCATTTGTTTACATAACAATGCAGAATGATGCTCAAGATTTTAAAATTCTGAAAAATAGGATGGGATCTGTTATTGTCTCTACTTTATAATTATCAAAACTATTTCTACTGCCTTTAATTGAAATAAAATATTTGTACTTATGGAAATTATATAGTTTAACCTCCAGAACTTGATTTGAGTTAATCTATTTTAAGTTTTGAGACAGGGTTTCTGTGTTGCTTTGGAGCCTATCCTGGAACTCTCTAAGCCAGATTGGCCTCCAACTCACAGAGATCCGCCTGTCTCTGCCTTCTGAGTGCTGGGTTAAAGGCCTGTGCTTCAAGGATATCTTAATTCAGTAGTTGGAAGGTATTTAATTTTACTTAACTAAACTCTTAGGACTTTTGAGTTAGCCATATAAACTTGAAATGTGAGGATAAGGGTTAATTTTTTGCATTAAAAAACTAATAGAAGGCTGAGAGGCAGCTCATTGGCACAAGCACTTAGCATGCCCAAGGTCCTGGGTTCAGTCCCCAACAGCACAAAAACAAAAACCCAGTGGAGAAGACCTATATGTAAACAATATTGATTCCTGTAAGCAAGCTCCATGGAGAAATCAAGTGTAGGCACTATTCCTACAATCCTGCAGCCCATCTGCTTTCTATGTGGGGACAGCAGGCTGGAATTGACAGTTGGATCTGTGTTGTGGGAAGGTGACACAATGGAAAAATTAGAAATTGCTAGTAAGAGGAGGGGATGGCTCAGGTTATCTTATTTCAGTACATGCATAGATGTTGAGCCTCAAGAAACTCCCCCTTGACACAAAAAAAATTATCCAGAAAAGGTGACATCCTAAAATTAGTAGCATATGGTTCGTGGTCACCTTAGGGGAAAAAAAAGCCAAAGAGGGCCAAAAAACTGAAATTGGTTAGTAGCTGAATTTCAGACATGGTGACCCTAAAGACGAACAACAGAGTAAAAAGGTCAAAATAACAGTGATGGCACTGTTGTAGTGGGACACGTGAGAGGAAGTGATGAGACAGCAGCCAGGGTCAGAGGTCGGAGACAAGCAGGTGGCAGGCTGATGGAGTGGGGAGAAGCCAGATTATGAAGCCCCAGTGCTCAAGTAAGGGATATAGTGCTATGCTTCCCAACACAAAATCCATCTGCCATAAATACGAGATTTTACCATGTGACTCCAACTTAGAAGGCAGATGTCAGGACCAACATTCAGGGTGACAGGTACTTGATCCTGTGGTGGATCCTGAACATTAGAGTACACAGCTGTAAATGTGAGAGGTAATGTGAGAGGGATTAACAGTAAAAGGCAAAGCTAACTAGGATGTCCTCCCACAACACATTTCAGTGTAGCATATACATTAAAATCCAGTACTCTCAGCTTCCTAGTAGAGCCAGGCTGAGTCAGGTGAACCCGTACTGCAGGATTGTAGCTCCCCACCCCAGCCATCCCCAGGAGACTACACTGACCAGTGAAGCAGAGACCCTCTTTTCTTGGGCCTGTGGCTGCCTGCCTCTGTCTCTCCTCGGTGCTCCCCTTTGTAACACCAAAGGTGGAATTCTAATTCAGACCTTAGGATTTTGAGCTTAAACTACCAGGATGAGAGCAGAGGGCCACAGCATCCCATGGTCCTTCTTAACAAAGCAAGGGACATCCCAGAGTGGAAGACACACAACAGTGGCTTTCTCAGTAGAAGTCACAAAGTTTTCTTAGTTTTTATTACCCTCAAGGTATTAAAACAAGTACAAAATAACCTTGTAATTAGGATACTGTATCCATCAATAAAAAAGAAGAAATCACTATTGTATGAAGCTATACACACATGGCTAAAATATACAAGCTGTGACATAATTAAAAGACAATTTGAAATGGGGTTGCTTTCTTCAGAAAAGCCAAATCGATAAAACAGGACAAATAAAATACAGTGCCCTAAATATGCATAAGTATAAACACTAAGAGTCTAAACATACTACTATTGGCATAACATCCACTGCTTCTATTTCCCAGCCCCTGCCAGCACATGCCTACTCCCTCTAAAGAATACTAGGTGCAGCATAAACCTTAAATAGTCTCAGTAGATAGAACAGTGGCATGCACTTCTAGAATAAACCCCCTCGGCTGGCAGGCTAAGTTAGGCTGTAAACCTCCTGCAACCACAAACCCCATATGCTATGTCCCTGCTCCCTCATTCCCCATCCCCATATTGGCATTCAGTCACCTTTCCCACCCCCAAAAAGTGCAGTTCATGGTACCTTTCCTAGGAAATGGTTATAATGGGTGTCCCAGAAGACATGCTTTTTTTAAAAAAAAAATCCCTCTCTGTGCACCAGAGGTGATGAAAATGAAATTGTGTTCTTGGCATTGTTTTTGAGATTTCACTGGGTCAAAACAATGTGTTCTGAACACTTGAGTTTCTGTTTGTGTGAGTTTTAAAATTATTTTGGTGCCCTGTGATATAATGGAGAGAACATCTCAGTTTCCCCAAATAGAGGGATAGAGATGTAGGCTGCTGACCCCAGTCTGGTTAAGTGTCCAGTTCCCCTCCTGGCTCGGCTTCTTTCACAGAAACTAGTTATTGCTTCTACACTGCCGCTACAAGGGAACGCTCCGCAAGGCTGTGACCCTGGTCACAGTTTACCTGTGATGGCTCTGCTCTGAAAAACACCAGCCCAAGAGCTCTTACCCAGAGGGAAATGCTTCAGCCCTCAAGGTCAGTGAAACTTGGTTAGTGCAGTTTAGAGTAAATGCATACTATCTGGCTTATGTTAAATGAGTATTGGCACGATGTTCCTCAAGTTTCATGTATAAATGTGATTTGCACATGGGCCGTAGCCCTGGGTGAGTCAGCCAATCTGCACCATTTTTATGTCAGCGATAATCCCATCTCTTCCTTTTGAGCACTGTAGGGAGAGGTGCTTCATACGGGTTTCCAAGGCCTGGCCTTCACGGGATGTGCTGCTTTGGCTCCTGCCCTTGCCACCACCACTGTTGCTGTGAACACGGTTGTTGTTGGCTCTGTCACTCGTTTTATTCTCAGCCCCTTCTGCTCTGTCTCCTGTAGAGATACAAAGGTTGCCGAATGGGAGCTGACAGTTCCAGCCCCCTAAGCCCTCTACGATTCCCACTGCCACCCACCATGCATCTCAGGGGCTCTCCAGCATTGGATAACACACTGTATTTATCCCTTAGTATGTATCCTAAGATGAGATTTACTCTCCTTACTTTGGAGTTAGGAAGCTAACCTCTCTAGCAGGAACCTGCCAAGGGGATTTTTCTTAGGAGAGACTCGGGGCCTAAATTCTGTAACAATTGAAGCTGGCCAGGTAGAGTGCCAGGGGTCGAACTTACCTCGTTCCACCTCACATTCAGGGGAGGAGGCCCCACTGCATTCACTTCGAGGGCCCAGTATTGGAAACATCATTCCAAATTCAGACAGGGATACGGGGCTGGGCAGATCCAAGCTGCCGGGCCTTGCCACTGCAGGGAACTGGTCAGGCATATCAGATGGACTTGTTGGTCCTGAACTAAAGCTGGACACAGACTGAGTTTCTGAGTCGTCTTCAGACACTAAGTTGCTGCAGTTGTCATCTTCAAAGGCTTCGGAAGCCACTGTGGGATGAGAACATCCGTCACACGGAGCCTGCTAACAAGTAGCCCAGGTCCCTAAAGGCTTGCAGACAAGCTCTCTGCTGGCAGGCAGGCAGGTAGGCAGGCAGGCAGTCCCACAGCATGGAGTGCAGGTTCTGCAACCATCCTGAGCCTTCTGACTCGCCTCCTGCTAGGTCCCATAGAAAGTCAGTGTTCTAGAAATAAAATTAACTCCTGCTCTATGATTTTATGCCAGCAGGTGCTACCTAAAGAAAGGATAGCTAGGGTAAAGCACATGTCTAGCATATACAAAGGCCTGATTTCACTTCCCAGCACTGAAGAAAAGGGAAGATAAATTTAGACACTAGCCCTTTGTGATGTGTCCTAAGGAGGCAATCTTACAATGAAGACTGAAGGTTTTCCTTCCAGCATAAGCAGCAGTTGCTGCTGGAAAGGGCAACTCTGCATGGAATGTATGTCTGTAGTAACTTTTGATCTCATAAGCCTGCCTAGACCACTGTCTGCAACAAAGAACAACTCATTTACAGTGTTCTCGATGTGCCTGTTTGTGAACCAGAATAACCAAGGCTCAGAGACACACCATTCTTGTTTTCAGAGCCTCTCAGCCTGCATTTTCGCTTTAAGATCCTTCCTAGTTCTCATTATGCCTATAGCGTCTTTAAAAATGATCTTATAGTAACCCTCTCTGGAATGCTAGAAGTACTATACTGCTTGAGACAGACTGAATTCAGATCCGGACCCCACTGTTGACTGTGTGGCCTTGTCAAGCTACCTGACTGCTCAAATGCTCTACGTACAGGATTAATGAAGTGATATAAAGCAACTCATTCATAGCTATTGATTACATTATAGTTTCATTTCCCTTCAACCTGGCAATTCAACCTTTGTTGATGGCCTTCAAGAATTACTGAGGATGGGTCTGGAGAGGGCTCAGTGGTTAAGAGCACCTGCTGCTTTTCCAGAGGACCCAGGCTTGATTTCCAGCACCCACATGGGAGCTCACAACTGTAATTCCAGAGTATCTAGTATCCTAACACCAAGCAAGAATGTGGTATACATAGATACATGTAGAAAAAATTCATACACAAATTATTTTTAAAAATACTAATAAGGAAAAGAAAAAAGAATTTCTGAGGAAGGTGCCTAAAAGAGCCACAATGGATTATTCCACAGGAAAAGAGAAGCTGCAAAGTGTTCACTGTCACAGGGTAGCTTTCTTAACAGAAACTAGGTCAGTCCTCTATTCTGTCTGCACAGGATATCCTTGGACAGAAGAGACCCATGTGCTTCAGACCCCAGGGAGAGCTGCTAGGTGTCACTTCTCACAACCCTCCTGACCACTCTTCACACAGCTAAAGCAGCTAACACACCAAGACCCCGGCTAGCCCACTCCATGCCATGGTAGAGTGGGGTCTGAATCAGATCTGGATACCAAGTCCCTTTTAATCTTCCCTCAGAATGTCTTAAAGTCTTGAACATTCTAAAGTGAACTTAGACTCTCTGAGAAGGGTAAGGATAGAGCTGGAACATTTCCCAAAC